TCTAGAATCTAATCAGCGTTGCTGCTAGCCAAAAACATTAAAACTAATTAACTCAGCCAACCAAGTAAGAAGTAAGCCCTCTTACTCTCTCTCTTCCTCTCGTTCTGGGTTTACGTACGAGTGAACCAGGAAATAAGCTTTTCCCTTCCTTCCTCTGTAATCCTATATACACATACTTGTTCACTGGAAATTGGTTAGTCTTACACCAATTAGCATTTCACTCTATGAGCTCGAATTACCAAGCGCCTTGACATAATTTGATGCGTTTACCACTTGATAAAGCTCTTGCATTGTTTTTACTAATTGTTATGAGTAATCTCGTTAGACAAGCGAAGATTAGTCATTTAGAAAATTTACGGTAATTTTTGAATTATAGAAAATAATAGCGATTTTGTACTTTTTTTTACGAACGAAAACTCCCGATCAAAGTCGTTTTTTACTACCATCCCCAGTAACGTGACGCTTTGGGAATCGTAACACCCACATCGGAAAAACGATCTATTACTTTGTTTCCCAGTTGGCAGATTGATCTGTCAATTTGCCGTTAACCTCAGAAGTTAATTCTCAGTAAAAGGTTATAAAAAATTCAGTTCTAAATTTTGAGTATGGACAAATGCACGTGTCACTAATTGAAGCCTCTATCAATTCGATACAGTTAATTTCATGTAATTGGCAAGTAAAGGTGTAACTGAACAACTTGTAAGGCTTATAATTGTTTAGCGTATTAATAATATTTATTGGTTGATTAGGTAATCCACTGGCTAGTTACGCTTCTGCATTCACAGATAATATATCAATGTTCTAAATTGAAAATGAGTTCCTTTGAAAATCCCACCGGTCAAATTAGCATAGTGAAGGCAATTTATATGTGGGAAATCAAGCGTGATTATATAACCTCCAAGGATATCGGCGAAATATTATTATCGCCGGAATTCCAAGCTATTAATTTGAAATGGCAGCTACAATTGAAAAAAATAAAAGGCGAGAAAGAGGAATGGGAGGATTTATCCATATTTCTGATTCTGGTGAGCCTCGAAAGAAGCGTGGAAATACGGTTTCTCTTTTCCATACTAAACGACAAAGACGAGAACATGTTATCGTTTCCTTCGTCGAGTGTTGTGTTTTCTCGTGATAAGTCCAAATGGGGTCGGAAATGCATCGCATCCAGCAAATTAATTGAAAGATACAGTCAAATACTGTCCGACGATAAGCTCAAAATATCGTGTGAAATAATACCAAACGCCAAGGCACTGCAAAATGTAGGTTTGTCAACGGGCTTCGAAAATTTGTTAGACAATAAAAGTTTCAGTGACGTTACATTCGTCATAGAAGGTAAACATTTGCACGCTCACAAAAATATTTTGGCGAGCAAGAGTAAAGTATTCGAGGCTATGTTCGAGCACAAGATGAAAGAAAATATTGAGAATATCGTCGACGTTGAGGATATTTTATACGATGTGCTTCTCGAAATGTTCAGGTTTATGTATTCCGGTCAAGTAAAGGATTTGGAAAAGCATTCGAAAGATCTGCTGATCGCTGCTGATAAATACGATCTAACTGACTTGAAAGTCATTTGCGGCGAGTATTTGTGTGACAATTTAGCCGCGGGCAACGTCGTCGAATATCTCGATTTGGCTGATCACATGAACGTCCGAGTACTCAAACTCAAAGCATTGGATTTTATCATGTCGAATTCCAAAAATTTGATAACTGTTCCAGAATTCAGAGCGATCACATGTTTACACGAGAATTTAATTTTCGAAGTCATTTGCCGTTTTGCAATGGAGAAAAAATGAATCAGTATTTGTTCGTTGTCCGAAAATATTGTCGTTATACATTTCAACATTTCAAGTGCTGTTCGAATGTTTATGCATGTACTTCACCAAACAATAAAAATCAATTTTTCAACGGATGATATGTAAAGTTATTTCAATCATTCGAATCCGAACTGATAATAGCCCATCAACACCAAGTTCTCTCTAGCAATCACGAGTAATTAACAATCCATTACCCGCATTTATACGGCTGAAAGTCCTCCTGGCGATAATTAACAAAGTGCAACTCGCGAACTTACAGGAGATCACCTTGTCGCTAACAATCGTTTAAGCGTGAATTGGAGTTTGCTACTCCAAGTTTGACGTGCTAGACGAGAGTCATCGATCCGTAAAAACTTGCTTTGTGTAAATGACCGTGCTTATGGCCATTTGGTGAGCCGGAGGCTTTTGTTCTTCTACATTTAAGGACAGACACTTTGAATTATTACTCTTAGTTTGACAATCGAATGTCTGCGATTGTGAGCGGTATATGATCACTCTCTCTTAGTATAGTACTTTCGGTGAACTTTCCTCTTCTTGACGACTTTATGCTTCGGGTGGTATGCCTCTGATAATAGGATCACCTACAGTTTACGTCGCAAACAAAAAACGATTTAGCTTATTAAAATTCCATATCTTCGAAATAGTTGCCATTAATGGATAAGTCGTTTAACAGTTAAAAGTAATTATAGATAGAATAGCGCTGGAACGAAATATCGACGGTGGAGTCAAATAAAATAATGAGAGTAATGTAATACCAGATCTTGATCACGTTATTAGATGATAATTTCAATAAAGTACTAATTATCGTCATTTTATCTTCGTTGCGTTACTATAATATTCTTAAGTCAATCGAAACACATTTTCGAATCCAATTTGTTGCGTATGACATTGGATATCTTATCATTATCCGGCCGCTGTATGTTTTTGATATACAACATATATCCGAAAGACAAATCAACAGCAATAAAAACTACAACACGCATTCGATATCATCCAAGTAAACGAATTGACGCATGCAAATCGTTTACAAGTCAGACGACGCAATCTGTCTTTCTTTCATGCTGCCTTTCTTTCATTGGCGAGATCAAGAGTCAGTAGAAATTTACACCATATAAGAGTAAAGATGCGTAAGGCTTCCCGTATTGCGTCCGCGATAATTCGAGTAGTAGTCAAACTCGACGAGGAGAAGAATGCGCATCCTCGATTATCTCACGCGTACAGCTGGAAATATGTTGATGCTTGCGCCAGATAATCAATCAAGCATTTGTGCGATGCAGCTGCACGCTTCTCATTGCTGCGGGATTCTATTGATTTTTTGATTATTTCGTGCCTCGTGAGCCCGATGTTGAATGATTTATTGTGGTAAATTGGACATTTTTTGTGAAGAAAATATACAGGCTGCCAATGATGGGAGTTGCTAATTGCTGCGGCGGCCGTAGATGTCTTTTTCTTTTCGACTATCTTCGAGAAACTAGTCATTTGTAAAAATGACATATAATTAACTGAGGTATTATAGGAGCTTTATTTTACAAATGGTTTCGTATAGATTGTATATTTAAAAAATTATTGGATTATTACGTTCGATTTTTTAAAAGTATAATCATTTAATTTTCAACTATTTGAGCTAAAAACTAGATTTAACTAATGAGTCAATTTAGATTTCTCGAGACTCGAAACAATTATGCATTAACTGCAGCTGCATCTCTCTAGTCAACTTCTATTTTCGTTCCCACTCCAATTTCTCTTCCATTAGCGCTTTTTTCTAGACAGACTTTAACTTTCATTCAAATGTAAATAACTTTTGAGGGCGTAGTTCTTCAACGGGCGAATGAAGTATTTTTTCTTTCCCTTTTTTCATATAGCCGCATCTTCGTTCTCGGTATTAAAACAAGTCTGTATATCTGAATTTTATCAAGTTGTTAAAAGTTAGCTTTGAAAATATGGTAGCTTTATAATTTGTGCAGTCTCGTTCGAATAATGAAATTTTAATCTGAGCAATTTCCTTTCCGCTAAAAAAAAATGAAATACGTAAAAACTAAGTATAATTAAACAGAATAAAATATTGAAAATAAAAACTTCATCAACTGATATCAGTATTTTATCATTTGTTTTTCAAGAAATAACATTAAAATTTCTAACCAACTTAAGTGTTAGCTCAAAAGAGTAAGAACGAATTTTAACAATAAAAAAGACTGGCAAATCTTACGCAGGTGAAAACTACACCTCCCTTGATACTAAAGTCACCCTGAAGGTTTTATTTCGAAGTGCGTACGAAAGAGGAAGTACCACGGAGTAATGAAAAATATTAATAATAAATAATTAATGAAATGATTAAATGAAATGAATTAATAAATAATTCAATTAACAAATAAAAGCTGGCTTGATTGCTGTTGTTTAACAAAATTTATCAAACTAGAATGCAAATCCCTCAGCGATTTTGAAACGAACTGATTTCACTCTTCTGCCGAGTCTTTTTTTTTTGTTTTTTATCAACTTTAATGTATACTTCATCACTTGAAAATGAAGTAAAAACTTACAAGTCAGGAATATTTTAGCATAATAAATCACCAGAATAAAATTATTAGACTGCTATTCAGTCACGCCCAAATTCGATAAAATCATCGACATCGCTATAATAATTTATTTATATCTAGTCGAATAATATATCTACACGAGTTGATAAAAAACACATTTGACAGCTTAGCAGCCAACTACGAGCAGTATAAAAGTTGAGTGTGAATCTTGCGAAATTGAAAACCGTTTATCCGCTTTCTCAACAACTTGGCCGCGAGCCAGAGAAAAAGAAAAGCAACGACAAGTTAAAATTCATTTGAAATTTGTATCTGTCCAAATATCATTACATTGAATACGAGAGTATCAACGACCTTCCAGCAGTCAAAATACTGAAATTCGTGACATACTTCAATAGCTTGTAACAATCAAAGTACAATTAACAAGATAGCTGGAATCGACCTAATAGCACAAGTTGAATGTTTAGGTATTTAATAGGCCATTACGCCAGTCACGAGTTGAAAGCTGCTCGTGGTAATCTCAAAGTCTCTCCGTTAGTACACTTGGCACGAATCTCAACGAGCACGTGTCAAGTGTAAAGTGCAGCATGCACGACATTAGTCACGTATTAATGAAAAATAAACATTTTTTTGTCTTCTTATTGCATTGCAGATATCGCTGGAGGCTATCTATGCTTCGTCGTCAGCATCTTTGGCATTGGCGTAGTAACAGCCGTAATTGGCGACGTCGCATCCTACTTCGGCTGCACCCTCGGTATCAAGGACTCCGTCACGGCCATTATGTTCGTCGCCCTTGGTACCAGCATACCCGGTGAGTCACCATTACAGCTCACACACACACACACACACACACACACACACACACACACACACACACACACACACACACACACACACACACACACACACACACACACACACACACACAGAGTCTCACATAGAAGTAGTTTTCGAAGCTGTTTACTGTCGATTGTTTAGCTACAGCTGCACGCTGTACTTGCATCAGATGCCATAAATTTCAACTCGCTTGAGATCATAGCTCTATTTGTATTATAACACGCGGCAAACTATTTTGCTACTAGTAATTTGCTTCAAAAAATTTTCAAATGGTCAATGATCACTTTGATTAGGAATTAATAGAAAATATTGGATGTAGATGCCCTATTACAAAACTACAAAATTAGATTATTCGTTTGAAATAACAGTGTTAACTGCCAATTCGATTAACTGCTCGTTATCTGTAAAATAATGTATAAATCAATTACGTGTACTAACGTAGAAAGGCTCTTGATAAAGATAGACATCAAATGGCCATTTAGTAATTGATTGGAAACAATCATTTCTACCGTTTGATAAGGCAATTGGATGTTTTTCAATTTGGTAAAACAATTGATTAGATTATGTCGACAACGTAATTATTGCATAGTAAGGATACATTGACTTCAACCATTACAATGATAATCACTTAAACGTATATTGGTAAGCGACATAAAAACGTAACGAAGGCAAGTTGAGAAAGAAAAGACGCTGAAAAGCATCGTTTTTCGTCTCTCTAATCCTCTCTAATCGACGACTCTGCACATTGAAATTCGCCAATAGCATAATACGAGGAAAAGCCGTTTTGTGCAAAAAAATTTAATAAAAATAAGGATCGAGAGCGATCATTAGCAGCAGCAGCAGAGATAATTGATTATATTCCAGTATTGTTTCCGAAAACAATAGAATAGCTTGAATGGACCACAAGGTGACATGTTATCAGGGGACCAAGTGGAAGCAGCACCTATTGCGCGAACCTATTGAAAGAGAAGGAGAATATTACAAATGGGTTTATTCTGCAACGAGCGTGTAAAATCAAGCGCGAAAGGCTTTATACATTAAACGACACGGCAAAGGGCCAAGGTTAATGAAGCTCTAATTTTCGCATTAACTTTCGCGTACGTCGAGCTTCGGTTTGGAAAATTGCTGGGAGACCGATATACGCTATGAGCTAATTATCCGAAGTTGAATTTTCGGACGTAATTATAATTTTGATAACGCCAAAGATTGGGACGAAGTAATTTTATTTATAATTAAACTCAGCTCCTTTTATTACACATAGTTAGTTCGGTAGCACGATAGATTGTAATTCACACGTGAAAACCAATGATTCTTCTAATTCATTTTGATAGTGGCGTAAATGCTTGAAAAGCAGCGTAGAAAGTAAGAGAATACGGTAAAGCAAGAATTGCAAATCTGAGCGCTTTCTTGAAAGTAAAACAATCCACAAATGCAACTGTCGCAGCAGTACCGTATGCGTGTTGATTCTTTAAAGAAGAAAAAAAAAAGAGCAGCACGCGAGTCTGCGCTTGCACAAATTTCGACTCGGTCATAAATATCGATTCGCTGTCATGCTTTGATTTTATCGTCGAGGGATTTGCATAGCACACTGCGCGACGCATCTTCCGGGGAAACATAATTAACAGCCGCGCGAAGCTCTCAATAGTTTGCAGCCACGTAGCTCGTAAAGTATCCGGCGCGCATTAAAAGTGCGACAGGTACGTGCCGGATTAACGCGCGCACTAGACGTTGATTTTAATCAGCCATTACAAGCAGCGCCGGGGATTTCCAATTTTCACTTTCTCTCGTGGCAGTTTCGATTTCCTTCCTTTCAATTTTCTGTCGGATCATAGTGGCTGTAAGCCTTTAATGACATTTTACTTTTTCGAACTGTTAACAGGATGGATTTGTAGACTACATTTTTCGTGTAATATTTAATACAAAATACGAGCTAGAAAATATTCCTTTTGCAAAAGGCTTGCGTTTAATCCGATTAAAGCCGCTATTTTGGTATTATATGACCTTACGAATAATTATTTTTTTTATCTTTTTGTTTTGTAGTATAACTTCCATTTATTACGGATTCGAGAGTGAACATAACGTTTCATAAAGTTTTACACCGATTTTATTATAGCGCAGCATGATTGTAAATTTAAAACAACTATACATACCGTAATTGAAAACTTCTGTATCATGGGGAGTTGAGCAGACGGATGCAAATTCAAATTGCATATAAGCCGTCCAAGGCAATGACGAGATGAAGCAAAGAGAGAGAGAGAGAAATCTCTTGCCTCTTTCGCGGCGTGAATTTAATCGAAAAGCAGAATCAGGTCAATCCGATGCGATTTAATTTTCGGTGCCGATCGTAATGAGAGTCGACAAGCTAAATCTTACACTCGCTAAATATCCTAAAAAATGCACAAATGCGTCGTAATCTATGATTATTACCACTGCATGTGAATTTTCATTATTATAATTTTGGAGAGAAAAAGACAAGGTTACCGTATGTAGGTCGTTTATTATTTTTTTTCTATCGGAAATCTGTAAACTAATTAGTCTTCATCGATCACTTCGTCAGTTAGATAACCGGCCCATCTCTCTAACTAAAATGACGTTATCCGTTGAAGGATTTTCAAGGAGAGTGCTTCAGTGACAGACTGAGTTGAAGGGGAAAATTGACAGCTCTAATAAAAGTCCAAGAAAAATAATGTAGTTAAAGAGGTTTCACTTTAAATTTCCACCGTGCAACCCACATTACGACCAAAGCAAAATTTTTTAGAAGAACAAAACAATAGATATATACAAATCCGATGTTTGCTAAGAAAATCGCAGAAAATTCACGTCTGAAGAGACACACCCTAAACCTAATCCTCGAATGACTCAGGTGACCGGATACTCAAGGGATACGTCCAATAGGATACGATAACTTCGTTTGAACGATCGTAACGAAAGCTCTCCTGTCGCTATGTGTAGAAAATACGAAATTTCAACCTTTGGGTCAGTTGGGCAAGTTAACGTTTGCATTACAAGATTGATAGGCTTTTGAAAAGCAATCAACGCGAGTTCCATTGACCTAAATTCTCGCCTTCGTCGTTGTACTTTTATTCTTCTTCACCGTTGCACGGCTCACATTCGTTCTCATTGTCCTCTCTAACGCGAGCACGTACTTTTATCTCGCGCTTTCACACTTGGCTGGTTTAACTTAAAAAGGCTGTTTAATAAAATATCCCGTGGAATTTTTCACTGTCGATAGCCAAGATTTTCGTTGTTGCTCGGAATAACAGTATTTAGATAGAGTTAGATAAATAATAGAATTGCTCATTCGTACGAATAAACTACAGCTCAATGGCGACAAGAAAAACAAATGAATTTGACAAAACTCAGCCGCAGCGACTACAAGTTTGTCGTTGTTCGGCTGGCTTCCCATTTCTATCCGAGCACTGTTATTGAAAGCTAACTACAATAATATATCTCCTTTGTCCCTAGCGCACGGGAGAGAGCTCATTACTCGATATTAATCCACGTGGAAATTCGTAGCAGATGACAACCGCGTCAAAGCTGTATTAATTAGCGAACTCCACCTCTGAGCGCGCGGTTTCTTAGCTTAACCCGTATTCACGAGCGAATTTGCTAATGAGTTGCGTGAGTTCCGTTTGCGGCTCTGCGTTGTTTTGCAAAAGCTGCCGACGGCTGTTTATTATTAACTGCAATTTTACAGCTGAATCTGAGATGACGATTAGTACGTTGAGATAAGATTTTTATAATGGCATTGTAACTTTGTAGCGCTGATGAGCGTTACATTCTAATTCATCACGAGAGCGGTGCATCTGCAAAAATTTAATGGAGAGAGACGCGCTTTATTATGATATATTATCAGACTCTACAGAAAGGAAAAAACAATTATTCAACCAGCGAATTTCATAAACATAACTTTTGCGTTTAATTTGTACTCATTCCAATTTCTATTTTGCAACATAAATATCTCTAACAACAAACTACGATTTCTCAGATTGCAAAATTTGTTATACTAAAAAACTTTGATAAGAAAATTTTTTTTATTCACAATCCTTGAAAGCTAGTACACACAGCAAATTCCCTCGAGACAAACGCGATGAAATACTCCCGACACGTCCGAAAAGGCGCCGTCATTCTCAGCAAATACGAGGGGACGGCGCTACAAATAAAAAGCAGTCGCGTAACGTGTAAGTTAAGGCACATTCATCATAAAATACTCTATAAAACTTGCGTTGTTCTTTTTCGAATGTGGAGCAGTGTTGGTGATCGTCGTAATCTCAGTCGTAATGATATTGGATACATCAGACATAGAAGAAATAAAAGAAAAAAATCTGAAAAAAAATTGATTCCGAAAGCGCAATATCCTTCCGAAAGGCCGCATAAATATTTACGAAGGCAAAAATATTCGATATAGTAGCTGAATCCTCGGGACCGCGGATGAATAATACCCTGCGTTACACATTTCTCTTGCTCTTATCTCGGTCTGGCGCGTTTTCGAAAATCCCGAGGGAAGTGTACTTTTCACTGTCTGTAACTTTTCTCTTTCATTCCCGGTTATAATGGCTACGTAGCTTATGAGCTGCAGCAACTACCGCCGACCGACCCTAAGGATTAAAGAGCGCTTTTTTCCAGGATTTTTTTTTTAACCAGGAGAGACTCAAGTGCCTTGCGGTTTCCTTTGAGTGAACCGAGGCATTGGGTAATTAGACGTAGAGGATTTACTTTGCTCCAGATAGGGTCGGCAAAAATTATTGCTGATGCTCTGTTTACTCGACGACTAAGGGTTGTACTGGAGTTTAAGTTATACATGATAAGAATATAAGCATGTGAATTCGTAGGAAGCCCGTCTAAAGTTTTCGAAATGTCATGTAATAAAAACAAAACCGCACATATATAAAGTTGATGTTCATGAAGTTCGCAGGAAATCGCTGAATTATTTTGTAGATAATTTGCAAAATAATAGTACCGCGCAAATGAATGTAATGTTTTAATTATCGGTAAGTTCTAAGAATGACGTAATATGAAATCCTTGAGCAATGCACGAAGAAAAATATTCGACAGTTGTTTCCTTCGAATTCAAAATTTTGAAAAAGGAAATTTTTATAGATATTAAAAGCTGCCATTTTAACCATACGTGATTAAAACAAATCGCGAAAAAGTATGCGACTCCGTGAAAAACATAATGGAAAACTTGACTACGACGTAAAATATTCCATGCAAGTGAAAAACAAACTCGCAATTCGATGTTACGCCCTCGCACAAAGAGTAAGAAAAGCTCAACGTAATACCGCGTATAGAGAAAAAAAGCTCTCAACGACAAATCATTCTCGGCTTTGTCTGCTGCAAAGGAAAGCTATAAGTACTCTTGGCAACTTCACAAAAGCCAGCCGCGTGGGTGTAAACAAAGAGAAAACAATCTAGAGAGAACAAAACTCAAAAGCAGTGACATCAAGCTGTTGCGCGACTGATTTCTTTTCGATGCGCTTTCTACATGAAAGTATCGCATATCGTGGAGTTGTGGTTGCACGTCGTTGCCCCTGGAGCCTTCGCTCTCGACTAGGAGAAAGAAAAAGAGAAGCAGTAATCCGTGGGTAAGCGGCTTTTAAAACCGATACGCACATAAATCTGCCTCTCCTGCTCTCACTGGTGTATTCACATGTCTCGTATTATATACTTGCCCGAAGTGCATATGCCGAATGTAAGCTTCCATTGTAAAATTTTTCGTAAAATTTTTGCATAAGAGCAAAACAAAACTAGTCTATTAAACTTCGTTGAATGTACCCATTTTGGGCGGATGATTCAAAGCAATAGTCGTGTAGTTTGAACTAACATTCATTATTGGCACATACGTTCCAAAATTTCTTAACAAAATTTAATTTAATATAATGAAAACACGCACTATTTGACGAAATATCGAACTCTGCTGCTTAGAATTGTATAAACAATCTTTTTAGTAGATAATTTCAAGCGATTCGACTTTATTAGAAAAATTATTCGCGAGCAACAATGTTCATCATCAGAAAAGAAAAAAAACAGTTTCGCTACATATTCATCAGGCAATCCCAACAGCGGCGAACAGTCACACAGTCAATCAGATTCCAATTGATAACGAGCGTCAACGATTATCGCGCCACTCGTCCCGCGCCGAATGAGACGCGACGGCGAGTGTGCACGAAATGCAATTTTCCGATGAGAATAAGCCGTATGAACTTGTATGAACCAAACCATTGAATGATTGAGCCTGACAAGTACACATCGGGAATGTACTGTAAAAAAACGAGGTTAATCGCTTCGAGTCCCCATGTCCGTATCACACGAAATAGTTTATCCACGTGTCAATCACTGCATGAAGCGACTTTCCGAAATGGTTGACACACAGGAAACGAAGGAACCCCTCCACCTCCCTCGACAAAAAAAATCACACGCGTGACTGCACCCGCTAAAACACAGCCAAAGGGTATTCAAAGCGCAAAGAAGAAGAGAGAAAGAGAGTGTGCATGTATGTGTAGAACAATTGAAATTGAATGGCATGTTCAGGCATAACTACAAAAACTTCCATAGTTCTTTAAATAAAATAACCAATGCCAAAAGAAATCTCTATTGAGAGTAACGAGTCTATTGAAGAGTTTCAACGACAATTTGTTTGCTCGTGCTTGCAAGCCACAACAAAGGGATAGAGAGAGAGAGAGAGAGAGAGAGAGAGAGAGAGAGAGAGAGAAGCGAAAAAACTGCTGCTTCTGTTATCTGATATATGGGTTTTGTTACGATTTATTGCAGACACATTCGCGAGCAAGGTGGCAGCCTGCCAGGACAAGTATGCGGACGCGAGTGTCGGCAACGTGACCGGAAGCAACGCGGTCAATGTCTTCCTGGGGATAGGCGTCGCATGGAGCATCGCTGCCATTTACCACGCTTGTCATGGCAACAGATTTCTTGTTGAACCAGGCAGGTAAGTGTCGAACCCAAATCCAATCAGATAATATCATGATCTTCAAATTATTTATTAAGAATCTGTGAGGATTCAAAAAGCAAAGAAGCATAATAAATTATTTATTATGCGAAAATGATTTATGCTCATTTATAGCGAATGAGCAGCTATAGCAATAGTTGTAACAGAGTTCAAAGCAAAGACGCTATACGGCATACAGTAATAGGGTCGCCATCGTAGCTTGACGCGGAGGCAAATCGAAACTGAATGGATGCATCTATGGTCGTAAGTTTTCCCACAAAGCTACTGTCGACCTCAATAACCGATCTTGTTTACGGGAAACTGTTATACGACGATTTCGTGAGAAGCGGCCATGGCGTATAATTTTTAAAATAGATAACCCCTCTTTTAACTAACGAGCTACTTTTATCGAATTCTGCGTTGAGATCGGGTATATATTACTTTGCTGTGCTTTCGTTTTTCATTTGATATTTTCATTATGCGAATGCTTCTGTTCGAACATCAATATTTGCCATAAATAAAATGATTTTCGGTCGCGCAGCTAATTCATTAATTATTAATTTTCAGTTATTTGTATTATCCGAGTTTTTCATAAACGTCGTTTTAATAATCAATCACTTATTTTCTTTTTTTTTCAATATTACACAATGTAATCAATTTAATTGAGGAGAAAATATAAACAAAAATAAGAACTATAAAAAATGTCATCGTGCAACCTACGATGGTAATATAATAAATGAATGCCCAACTGTCGGCCGCAAATTCGTATCCGCGAAGCATGTAGTTTTTCCACTATATAACAAGCTCACGTGTAACAACACCGATTTATCAATAATGCACCACGCATCCGAGAGGTAGGAGCTACCTTATTATTGAACACTTAAGAGCATCACATATAGCAGCCACAGAAAACCCAGTAAGCTATTTACGCAATAGATCACAAGCTTTCATTTAAGAGTATGCGAACTCGCAAACTAGAAAGCTTTCAGCTACCAGGAATTTCCTGTTTTCATAGTAACGTTAAGTTTCGTATTGTGCAATCATCATCATATCTCAAAAAAAATTATGAGTCACTGACATCCAGTGATTTGCTTGATGCTAAAAAAGAGCGTAAAATTTTGAATTTTCGTATATTTTGAAATATTTTTTATTATATATCTAGGAATGTGAGATTTATAATTCAACAATAAATTCAGTTTATGAATAATCAACATAAACAACAATGTGTAAAAATGGGAATATACCGTTAATAAATCGTTTTGAGGACATAAACCGTTATGTTTTGAAATTATCTGTACAAATCGTTAATTTTGTAACCATCTATGATACTGAAATTGATATTGTCGTATTAAAATTTGATAGAAAAAGAATGAAAATGAATAAAATAAAATAGGCGAAAATACATTTTTATCTTTTGTACATTATAAACTAAGAAGTATGCGAGTAATGAAAACTAATTATCAATCTTAATATTAGACTCGTTAAATTTAGAGAATATTCACGAGTATTTTTATAGAGGCATCAAAAAGAATACGATTACTCATACTAATATAAGATTGGATTCATAATCGCTACTATTGAGTATGTAAAGTTTAGTGTTGTATAACAAGTTCTGCTCATTAAGGGCGCTTGCTTGCCCGAGCCGTCACCGAGGACGCGAGGGCGACACCGATCACACGGACTACGCGCGCGCGCGCGCAAAGAGAGAGAGAAAGAAAGCGCGACGATTTAGGCAATTGTTTGATCACTGGTCACCGAGCTGCATCAACCTGGAATAACCGGTACAAGAAATCGCCGAGTTGAAAAAAAAAAGAATAGAAAAGGACGAGATTGCCAACGTTCGTAATCAAGTAAGCTGACCAGCACATAATCGGAAAAATTCGCGCCCGATCTTCCACCATGATCTCGCGTTATTAGTTCGCGTTAGCTGCGACTCTCTCTCTCTCCACCGCATTTCGGCGTTCGCAACGTAAAATCTCCCGGCTCGATTGATGTAACTTTTGCTTTTGTACCTGACTATTTTTCCACTCCGCTGAATAAAACGTAAAGGTCTACAACATCCGCTCGTGTTCGTCATTTCGTTTTTCCCAGCCCGACTATGCTCCCCGTCGAATCGTAAACTACACATACCCTAAGGAGGTGCCCGCGGATTCGCGCATCCTTTCAGAGACGCCGGCCTACTGCGAGCAACAACGCATGAAGCCACTGCATCTTAACGGAGATCGCAGAGGAGTTAACGGCAGTGTGCACGTAAGATCGACGTGCGTCAAACCATTTCCGCCCTCGAGGGCAAATATTTCGATATTTGTCGGCGTACGCATGTTCTTATGAGAAAAAATCGCAGCTTAACACTCAGTTGCGCGAGAACATATTCGTTTCGTTTACTTCTTGTCTTCTCTCTCGTGCGTTGGTTCAAGTCAATTGCTGCATGTCTATTTATACGCTATACTGTACTTGTTTATAATACGATATGCCGCGTCCATGCTCGTCGCCTTCTACTACTTTGAGTGCCATGTAACGGGGTGTGTGGTTTATATTATGTGATGTGTGGTGTGTCTAATCCTTTGTGTTGTGTTATCGTTGATTATCTTAACGTTTACTTCGAACTAATCTTCGATAGACGTTCTTGGTGAAGATGTCCTGCTGCTCAGTTGGGGACTGCAATCGTTCATCATTCAATAACGGTGATAGATTACGTCATTCATTACGCGTATTATACCACGCTTGCGTAATCTGCCATTGTTCTTCAGCTGGCAAGTTGGTGTTTGGTTTTATGCATGACCAATTCATGTTTTTAGTTGTAAAACTTTGTCCTTGGTCCATACTCTGTTCTTTCATGAACTGGAATCCCATCATGACTGCTCCGCCCATTACTGAAGATGAGAATGTAGCAGGAGAGTATCCTTGTACTACTTCATCGATTCACGAGGCTGCGCCATCTTCAGTCGGCTTAGTCTTGATCACTGATGTTGGTACACCGACGTCTGTCATGATGAACGGGTTTGTCTTCTCTAGTTTGTACGTTTCGATTTTAATTAGGATGTCAGATATTTGTAAGGCGTACTTGTAATAACTTTTCCTATGATTCTTTGTTTAATCTGTATTCTCCTTGGTCCAATAATTCCAAGGTCTCCACATAAGTTGGTGAATCTATGGATTGGAACCGGGTTCTGCTCGTCCTGATATAAAGCCATAACATAGTCACCGGCAAGTTCCAATGATGGCATCTATGTCATGACTTTATGTCATAACCTATGATGATAATATAATAAAAGAACGTCTAATTTTCGGCCGCAAATTTATAACCGCGAAGCCTATGTTTTTTCTACTACATAACAAGCTCGCGTGTAACTCCACCGATTTATAAATAATACGCCACCGGCAACTCCTAATGATGGTATCTATGTCAGGGCTTTATGTCAAAGCGAGCAGAACCCGGTTCCTATCTATAGATTCACCACACCTACTACATTCGTAATATTCTCCAACTTATGTAGAGACCTTGGAATTATTGGACCAAGGGAAGTAGAGATCAAACGAAGAATTATGGAAGGAGGCATTACCGCGAAAACGTTTCACGAGATAAAAGCGAACACTCGCTTCAATCTCAAGTACTTCTTACAAATATCTAACATTCTAATTAAAATCGAAACGTACAAACTAGAGAAGACAAACCCGTTCAATATAACAGATAGTCTTGATCACTGATGTACCAACATCAGTGATCAAGACTAAGCCGACTGAAGATGGCGCAGCCTCGTGAATCGACAAAGAAGTACAAGGATACTCTCCTGCTACATTCTTATCTTCAGTAATGGGCGGAGCAGTCATGATGGGATTCCAGCTCATAAAAACATGAATTAGTCATGCATAAAACCAAACACCAACTTGCCAGCTAAAGAACAATGGCAGATTACGCAAGCGTGGTATGGTACGCGTAATGCACGACGTAATCTATCATCGTTATTGAATGATGAACGATTCCAGTACTAAGCAGCAGGACATCTTCACCAAGAACGTCTGCCGAAGATTAGTTCAAACTAAACGGTAATCTAATCAACGATATTAGACAACAGGAAACACCAACACAAAGGATTGTACACACCACACAATACAAATCACATACCCCGTTACATAGCGCCCAAAGTAGTAGAAGGCGGCGAGCGTGGACGCGGCATAGCGTATTATAAACAAGTCCGGTATAACGTATAAACAGACATGCAGCAATTAACTTGAACCAGCGCGCGAGAGAGAAGGGAAGAAGTAAACAAAACGAATATGATCGCGCACTACTGAGTGCTAAGCTGCGACCTGTTGTCATAATAATATGCGCACACCGATAAATCACATACCCCGTTGTGGTTGTATAATAATATAATTTATATAATCCATCGTAGGCTAAATTTATCTTTTAAATAATTTTTCCCATATATCTTGAAATGAATAAAAGTTCATCGGTTTTTGTGAAAAAATGGGTGCAAGTTTTATTTTTATTAATCAATAAACATTGAGGTATGTAGTCTATTTTAAACAGCATGATTCATTTATGCCCATAAGAATCTCTAATTTGGCACGTAAAAGTTTCAAATAATGTAGTAAATAACAGAAAAATATTTAAAAAAAGAGCGCGCATGGTGCGCTAAATAACACGAGTATTATGACAAATATCTTTTCGGCATTTTATTTAAACTTTGAAAACTCTGAGTCTATCGTTAAAGATGGATTCTAACTGAATAGTGCCTTTCAAACAAACTTCCAACTAAACAGAAAAACAAATTCGTTAGTTTAATTGTTCTCGGCAAGGGCAAAAAAATGGCAGAGCAATATTTGTATTCTGGCAACCACGTCACTTTCATCAGAACTGTAAATAGGACAGATTCACTCGTTGCCTGAATATATCAATAATATCACGTACAAGTACGATAACGTGTGCAAATGACACTCGTGTATTTCATTTGCATATACAGGTGTTATTTTTATAAAGTGCTATAACGATCAAAATCGTCATGTAAATCAATTTCGATTGCGATTATGAACGAATCTTTGAATTTCAAGTACTCATCAAAATCAAAGGTGATTTAAAATATATCAATGAAAATTGAATATACTTGTTTCAATCGCTTGTAATCCTAATTAAAAAAATACGAGTGTAAGATTGTCGGATAGCATTGTTGAGCGAAGCGATGCGTCTCAGAGTCACGGAAATTGAGAGTGAGGGGGAGAGGAAATTTCGTGTCATAAAAGTTAACGAGATAGTCATTTCATTTCTTAATTTCCTGGCTCAACATGGACTGACAAACTTGTCAGCGCAGGCAAACCGGAAATTATTCGTAGGTTAACGAACATACGTGCGAATTCACATTTTTTGTTACTTTTTATCGAGTGATACGCTTTAGGCAAAAATCACGCGTAAAACTAGAAGCCGTAAAAGTAAACTGGCAGGTAAATGCAATCTGCAAGGCACACCTAAACCTATCGTAACGTAACTGATCATACAATAATATTCGCAAAGAAAGCACCTTCGCACCTGCACAATACGGTATTTTACAGTCTTTCTCGTTGCATCCTGGCTCACAAAAAGTCAAGCAAAGAAAAGCACTCACCGACGACGAAGACGACGATGACTGTTCAGAGGAATATCGATTTCCGACTTGTCCGCGGGAGGAGATTTGGCGCCTTTCAATTTTCTCGCTCTTCACAGCGATCTATTGGATGAAAAAGATACGCAACTTCTCCTACTGCTTCTGTCGTAAGAACTCGCTTTTTTCCGCGCAAATCTTCGAAGGCACATCTAGACTTTGACGCGGCGCGGTGCCTCGAGCACTTCAGTCCACGATGCATAAATGTATATTTGCTTCCCCATTCAGACACCAAACTGCGAATGCGTATTCGTATACAAGCGTATAAAGCTGTACTTTGGAGTCGCGTAGTTTTCAACATTGCGCGAGCACGTTCTTGTGCACGCTCTTTTGCACGCGCGGCTAATCGCACGGAAATGAAATTTCAAATAACATTTTACAAATCGCGAGTTTGACACAGTACAGATTATGATACTGCAATGCTTATCAAAATTCATATAAAAATATATGACATTTTTTACGATTTGAATTTCGATTGTTATTTCAATGTTTGTTCTATCTTCGTTAGCTAAATAGAAAACTCATAATCAACGTTATTTGTTCAAATAAAAGAAACTCTGCCAATTGAAACAAACCAATTCAGCAAGTCGGTAGTCTTGCCTGATTTCTACTTGATTAGTAAACTAAGCTGAAATATCATCACACTGCGATCAGCGCTTGCTTATACAGAAATTTGAAAAGATATATCTCTTTAAAACAATAACTTAGTTCTACCGCTTTCCGCAAGATTGTCTTTCATCGGATGTAGCACTTCCATGAGCTCTCTCATTTGTATGAGCTTTGAGTACTGTATGTGTTTTGTTGGCAATTCTGCAATAGCAATTCATATCGTTACGCGTCAAAACTTTGCGTCGCTCTCTCGCGAATGAATCATTGGTAGTTCGCGCGCGCAAATGTGCCGTCACTTTTTTTTTATATACGCACCCGTTTCGTGTATTTATGTTATTTGCCTCACTGCGTGAATTTCACTTCGAGTTTACACAAACAATGTACAAACAATTGCAGAATAACGTATTAGATTTTTCCGCTAAAGCGGATGCTTCCGATAATAAATGCTTTTCGCATTAATTAGGATCAGTATTTTTGTATTTCAAGGTTACTTTATAGTTTATTTTCATGCAATAGTCAATCCGGATTATCTGAGCATGACTGGCATACGACTAATAACGAGATAAAAATAAATAGAAATGAACATTGCAATCTGATAGAGCGTGGGTGGCCGTATTTCGATCCAATCTTATCATTTTGGCGTTGACAAATAACCTGGCCGTAATTTGGTACAACCAGTAATGATTATTAGAGTAATTTGCCAGTATTGGTTCATAATTACAGCTCTGGCAATTCTTTTCGAAGAAAAGAGGAATAAATTATTATAAGAGAGAAAAATAGGATTAAAAGCTTAACTTCATGAAAAATCGCGCGAAGCTGTATATAGTACGTTCAACGAGTTTGCGACAAAACTCGGCCAAGCGGAAGGGTGAACTCCCTTAATCCGACTGGTGAGCATTCCACGCGAATCAACCAAGTTTCGTGCTGTGTCTCTTTCTGTTCTTTTATTTATTTTCCAACTGCGCCGGAAAAGTCGTGACGCAGCTTTTGTTCCGAAAAATCTCTTTTGCTGCAGGGCACGCTACACATGTTACGTCGTCGAAGAATGAGAAGAAAAAAACCTGTAGATGCCGCGTGCGGAATATCATTATTTCTTCGGGATAAACGTTTCGAATTCCACCGCGTAGGCGGGATATTACTTCGTACCGATGTTGTATGGCTGGTGAGCGAGCCCTTATCCATTTTATCATAAGCAATACTTGAGCACTAAATAGTGTAGAGAATCCTCATAATCAAGAATATTCAGACGATGAATTCATAATCTGGCTATATTCGACTTAAAAATTAGTTTCCTTCAGTACAAATATTAAAAGTTATATGTTTGGGTATAATTTACTTCGGGATATTGTTTAAAGTAGTGAAAGTTTACTGTTTCAAATGTATAAAAACTAATACGTTTACGTACAGATAGATGAAGAATACCTACGTAAAAATTAGATTTTAGTATTAGTAATTTTCTTAATTTTTACTATTTCAGTCAATACCAACTTCAGAAAAATATAAAAATCAAGTTTCATAATTGATATTTCTTTTTTCAGTTTGGCATTCTCCGTGACACTATTCTGTTCGGAGGCCTGCCTGGTGATTGTCGTTCTGATGATGAGGCGGTCAAAAGTAGTCGGAGGTGAACTTGGTGGACCCTTCTTCTCGAAATGCATGACTTCATTGTTTCTCTTCTCCCTTTGGGTCTTCTATCTCGTCATGTCGACTCTTGAGGCCTACGGCGTTATCAAAGGATTCTAAACAGATAGAACTACAACTATAGATGCATACATACACATACATACTTACACGAAGAAAATAATACATACATACACATATGTACATATATACATGTATACATGTCGGCGTGTATACAGTGTTAAGGCCTATATACGTTACCGCCAATAACTGTACGAAGATATACATATATACACGATGTATACATGGGATTACCTACATTATTAGTTCGATTTTTTGAATGTACACGCACATGCGACGTGAGAAACGCATGAATATACGATTCGTAGGTGAGTCTCTAATGCAAGCGAATATTGCAATTTATTTATTCATTTACAGTTCTATCAGATTTTTTTTATTACAGACCGATGAAAAAACACTTTCACAAAAGTTGAAATATACAGCGCGGTTTGAGTAGCTATGGTCGAAATACCGAAGAGTAAAATACTATTGATATTATAATTTAGCGAAAATAAGTAAACGTGTATGCATTGAATAAATCATCGAGTGAATGCGAATGTTTCATGCAGGCGTAATGTTTGGTGCGAATCATTTTAAAGTATAAAAGAATTTGCCTTAATGTAGCGAAATACATGCGAAAAAGTCAAAGTGTTACGTGTAATTACAAGTCAAGTTTAATCCATAACCATGATCGCCATGAGCAATGACAAACCTTACATATATCATGGATATTTATTACCATTCAAAGGTTGGAATAATCATAATAATAAAAAAGAATATATATAAAATAGCGACTCACTTGGATGTAAAAGGAAACGATCATTCATGAAAGTGTTACAGATATAATCTATATGTATAATATTTAAGTAGCGCAGATCTGCGTCGCTGTACCTTCCTATCAGAGGTTTGATATATATTAAGCTGTATAATTTTGTATAAAATATATGTGCAACAACAGATTAATTTAATTGATCCGAAACATTAATTCATTGTGAATGCAAGAATAAGACTTTCACACACGCATCTACAAAATTTCATCTGATTCAAAAATATTTTAGCAGTTGAATTATAACTCGAAGTTTCACTCAAATGTTTTTTTTTATTTGTTTTATATTAAAATTCTTTATGATCCAATTATTCTTATCTAATTTGTATGACCAAAAATAATTTTTAAAATTGCATAAATATCTACACCTTCTAATTTTGAATATTTTAATCAATAAAATTGAGTGAAAAACGAATAAGCTTCTAAAAACGATAATAAAATAAACAAATACAAGCTCAGTTGTTATAAAAATTGTAAGCAATTGTAATTGATACTAGTTTTGTGTTCCAAATAGAACGTTGATTCAAAAATTAATGTACATTGAATGATATTCCAAAGAGCTGTGACAAAATATAGTAATGAAGTGGTTTATTCAAACAATATAAATTAAAAGCTATTTTTCATTCGTCAACAAATCTATTTCAACGGTCTAAACGCATACGTGAAAATCGCATACAGTTTTTAACTTTAACTATCTGTCGTTTTATGGATTTTTAATTACTTTTCTTGGACTGTTATTAAATTCGAAGCTTGAAAGCTAGAGGAGTTATTTACATAAACGAAAACAGCAATATATTTTCATTAGTCTTATATTGCCTGCGAAATGCAGTATAGTCCAAAATATATGCTATTTTTTTGTATGTGTTTGACTCAACCTCGTAAAAAAGACAAGCAACTATTATTTTATTTTAGTTTATTGAATTATTTAGATCAACGGTTACAAATAAATTAAATACATATTTCAATTTTTAATGAAAAAAACACTTTTTTGTTTGAAAAAGATTTACTAATCTGAAAATGTTATAAAAACATAAATACACACAAATATAAAAAAATCAATTTGTCTCAATTTCATTTGGATAAAAAGAGCTTACAGCAGTAACTTTCATTCTTCTTATTCCAGCTTAATTTATCATTGTGTACATTTGAAAAAAAATGCGATTTCGTTAGTGTAATATATTTGCCAATTGAAAGCTCATAATTTTATGCAAAAATTTATATACATATATGCAGTGACTACGCCTTTCAAATACTTTTTATAACAAAAAACGTCAAAGTAAATAAAAGTTACTATTCGGTAGATGCAACTTATTAACAAAAATATACCGAGAACCACTCGATAGCAAAGCGTTAAAGTGATAATCCGTAAAAAATAATCGCGGCTATCTAAGGGATTTTCGTTGCTGATCAATGCGAATGGTGGCATCGTGAAAATAGAGAGTATTGTATTAAATTTATAATTTTAGATGTAAAGAATAAAGGGTTTCAGTAGTAAAACAAAATTAGACAAAGTAAATTAAACCAAATTGTTATCACTATATTAACATTCATAATTTCTTTAAAAATTTGGAAAAGCAATTTCAAACAATTAATAATAAAAGTGTGTATCGATAATCCAAAGCCTACCTCAAATCGAATGGCAAGTTGCATCATCGACGAAATTGCCTTGGAAACACGCGATGTCATAATCGTGCATTTTTCTGTTGTTAAACATTATAGAGACACGTTATTCCTTCTAATAAAAAACTGAAAAATATAGATAAGGCAAATAAGTAAGCCTTTGAATTGAGACACCTAAAAAGACGTATTATATTATCTGGATACAATATGTTGATATCGGATATACAATATACAGATATTATACATAAAATTTAGGCCTGAAAATATATATTTAGTCGACAACTTGTACGTATTTAGCGATAATAAGGTATTTCGATAAATTTCACTGTTGACAGTGATGTATCATGAAATAATTATGCTAATACAAACATTTTATACTATTTACTGCAAATTCAATTATATTGTACACTAAATTTACTGAAATTAAAGTAGAAAATAAGTATAAAAGTGATTGTAGGAATATTGAATCACAGTGCATTTTGTAAAACTGCAAAGAAAAACAATTATCAATAAACATCTTTATTATTTCAGAAAAATCTTTCAAGAATGTAAGGTCATCTGGTGTTAAACAGTGAAAATTATAAGTTTTCTTTACTGTGGTGTAAAAACCGTTCTAATAAAGTTATAACGGTAAACTTTTTTTCATCTTAAAGTTCTCGGTAAATCTTCTCATTTTTTTTGTTTTTCAATCTCAAAATCTCAGTTAGGCGCGCTAAAATATCCTCTAAAGCACAGCATTTGATTTTTAGAAAAAAAAAGTGGTTTAACATACTTTTTTGAACGTTGGAGCGAACGAATATTATTTTTAAAGGACTCATTTTGTTTCTTAACATCAGTAGTCTAGATTAAGTGAAGAATTTTTGGAAATAGTCAATGTTACTTTTTTTATGAGAACTTTCACAAATTTCGTTCAAAATTCTTTTTGGATAAATATGCAAAAGGTCTTATAAAAATGGTAAAATTGACTATTTCGAAAGCTCCTTCGCTTAATCTTGAGTACTGATCTGAAAGAATAAAATGAGCCCTTTAAATACTGCAGCGTTCAGAAAATCGTAATAAACCAAACTTTAAAAAAAATAAAGTGTTACATTTAAGAGGGCTTTCTAGAGTCCTTACTTGAGATTTTAGGACCTAAAAGGAAGAAAATAAAATCATTTATCGTGTACTAGATGATAAGAAAATATTCATAATAATAACTTTCATAGAATTTTTTTATCACAACAGTAAAGTTATAATTTTCGCAGTTTAACACCACTCGGTCCCGCTTAAAAGCTGTTCACCAAAAGCTCGAATATATACTATTCTTTTAATAATACTTTCAAAAATGGAGGTCACTAATTATGCCACACAAAAAATAAGTATTGAAATTGAACGCAATAATAAAAGACTACGTGGAGTTTACCAATGAATTTAAATGCTGCTTTTATCGTGTTAATAAAAACTTTTCCAGAACTTTGTGTAGTACATTTATCACAGAGAATGCAAGTTGCAAAATTTGTTTTCAATTCAAAACTCAAATTTTACAATTTATATATATTGATAATTCATAGAATTTTATTAATATTTATCAAAATAAAAGATCAACCAAACTTCTTATGAGATTTGCATCTCTAATCAACTGGAAAAATGAAACATAAATCTTTTGTGCTAGATGATTGGTTAATTACTTCTTGAAAGAGCAAATCAGGTAAATTCCATGAATTTAGCAGAACCAAAATATTGTTTCTCATTTTTCGAAAAAATTTAGCCAGTTTGTTACATATATTTTATACAACATTTTTTACACAATTCTTGTCAAAATTACTGCCTTTTCTGAAATTAACAATGTATAGTAAATGTAGATTTTCATTGAACATTACTATATTAAACATTGTCGAAATATATTTTGTTGCCGTTTTGTTAATTTTTCAGCAATAGTTATATACTTTCAGTATAAAAATGTCAAATGTTATAAAATTAACAATTAAATGATATTGTTATGTATAACTAAATGGATTAATCAAAAATAGAAGCATTCGCAATTTTTCTGCCAATATTTATTAATGTAATTTGCTTGATAATCTTGGGCCTCCATTATATCAATAATATTTGAAGTTTTGAAGATAACAAAATATCTAATCACTTACAAGAATCACGTACGCTACATAGATATTTAATCGCAAAAATTCTCTTCGCGGTACTAGTAACTATACACTAATAAATATAAACTATTTCGACTTGTCAGATAATAGAAATTATAATTTATTAAAAATAACTCCGTACGTGGCTAGCCCTAGTTTTTATTCATGTTCTAGTCGACAATTTAACAAACTATATTCTAACGAGATAATCATTCAATATTTCAAAATAAAATGGAATAATAAAAACAAGTCTTTAAAAAAAGGACCAAAGCCCTGTGAGGCACGTTTATCTTATTAAATTCGTACGATGTAATGGTAAAAACGCGCTAGGACACGTTTAGGTTGATGAGGAACACTAAATCGTAAAGTTTCATAGTTTGCGATTTGATGTAGATCGAGTCGCATTTTATTCATATACACAAAACTTTTCTGGTTATAGTTTAGATACAGTTATCAAGTGAAATTAAATATACAACAATAATAAAATTATTAATGATACGCAAGTTTATAAAACATCAATAATCGCAAAAGTGGAAGATAAAATTGATACCACCGATATTATGTTACGATGATATTGTTGCTGAAGAATGTGAAATAGTTAGTAATGTACGTATTTCCCCATGTAATGTTTATTAAATTTTATTTTTCATTATTCTTTATCATTAGAAGACACGAAAGTAAGATGAAAGCTAATTGCCATCATGTATAATGGTGAACGATATTGTCATTAAATATTACAGATTTAAACGTTAAACATAAGTAATTACAATAATAAAATTGATTATGCATTTAAGAATATCTTTAACTATAACAAAAGATATTAATGATATTAGTATATACAAGTAAATTTTTTTAAATTAATTTTTTAAATGAATTGATGCTGCAATAAAACGATATTTTCTAAAAATTTATTATTTCAAGAGCTCATGAAGTTTATAACTTTTTTCAGAAAACGATTCAGCTTTTATAACTTCACTCTAATTTAAACAAAGAAAATTAAAACTTTAGAAAAATCATTATACATCAAATTTTGTTATACCATGACGTCATTAATACCATTTAATTATACCATTATAACGTTATTATACCATTTAATTTAATTAATACATAGCTATATACATATATATATATATATATATATATATATATATATATATATATATATATATATATAGCTTTTTTAATTCCGCCTCTTACCAAGTTTCGATTGAACTTACATAATATATAAATGACCAATTTACTTAAAAATAGTTTGAATTTGGACCAAATAAAATTTTTGTGTACGTTTAATAGATCATCAAATAAACATTACCTTATAAATGATAAAAAATATTGCATAAATTTTTACTATAGTTGAATAATTAAATATTAAGCTCGAAGCTATTTATATGCGCCGAAAAATTTATAAACAGCTTAATTTATTTGTTCAAAATTTAAGAACTAATACCAAATAAGATGAAATATTATATCGATAAAAATATAAAATTTATATTGGTGTAGAAAAGCTTAATGTTTTCATCGATGACAACAAAATTGAAATAAAAATTAAAATGTATTGAATCATCAAATACACAATTCATGAACAATATCAAAGTTGTCAATTCAATAAATATGTGTTATTAATTATAAATTAAATAACATATAGGGCTAGCCACAATTATTATTTTTATTGTTTTCTTTCTAAATAAATACATTACAAACGGGATGAATGCTAAAGGACACGGTTACCAACTCAATGCTATTTTTAATTGCTTATACTTGAATGATCTATTACTTGTTTACGATAATTAAACTTAAAGAATATATGAACTTATTAATAAAAAATATTATCTAACTTTTTGTTCCATAAATTCAAATCATTGTTGATATAGTAAATCTATTTTAAACTTCAAAAGGTATGTTACAGATATAAGTGCTCGTGTATACTCCAATTGTACAAGAGCATACAAATAAAAAATTGACGTCATAAAGATTAATAATCGCATTCATCATCAATCTAAAATATCTAAAATGAACTTTGATATTTAAAATTGATTCGTGATACTAAATTATAATATGTATAAATGTTCCCTAGGAATATTTCCTAAATATCGTCCAAACAAAAATGAAAACACAATCTTAAATAATTACATAATAAAGAAATAATAAAAGATGCAAATTTATGTATTACATATATTCAATATACAAGTGAATACATTTTCACAAATCTTGTAATAAAAATAAATCACTCTTTCGTAAATAAAACTGCACTAAGAGTGATATAAAAAAATAGCTATGCATGTTTAAATAAAAAAATTAATAAATATGAAACTGCTATGTATACAAAGTTATTATCAGCTAAATTTCTCGTTATCTCCGAAAACATAAACTGATATTATGGTGTATCCCAATAATATGTCATTCGCAAAACGTATGTATTGAAACTGTTGCGCTCGATACCAAACAGTGATTCAAAATACATTTAATTAGTCAAAATTGGTCATATTACTAGAACACAAAATCTTACATTCCTGTGTAGTAGATTGTACTACGTCAGTACAATGGAATGTAAAATCAATTTATTTATTTGGTTATCTTCTCGTATGCCCATTCCCGTCTATATTTTCATAATGTCAATCTTAATAACAATTATTTAATTCATTAGTAATGAAATGTATTTATAAAATGTAAAATTTTATTGTTACAACTATTATAAGATTAATTTATTGTAATATGATAAATATTTACAGTATTTACAAAGTGTTCGTGTACAGTATATGTATCACTTCGACTAATCATTCTAATCCATTAAAATCTTGGATTTTCCACTTGAATTAATGATAATACTCTTCAAATTTTACTTTATTGATATTAATTATAACATGACAAATATTAAATTAAAAATTATTTATATGCAGCCGATTTCAGAAAATTGTACACATAAATTCCTGCAATGAAAAATTCTTTATAAAATTTAATGAAGTACGTTTCTCTAGTAAAGAAATAGCCTATAAATAAACAAATACGATACTAATTACGCGCGGGAATACTTTTTAGTTACTGGCATTACAAAAGACGTTGAATATTGTTACCTATACCATGCATATTTATTAATTTCTCTCTTATAATTTGATTCCTATACATAATTATTATTTCCCTTTCCTATTGCTCCGTCCTTCAGCATTTTCATAAATTTGTTCGTGACGAATGTATCGCTATTTCACCGAAATCTTAATAATTTTTGCAAAATTTATTATACTCACATTTTCGGTATCGTCATGAAAGTGATTTATGTTAACTCCACATTTAAAAGATTTTTAGAGGAGATATTGATGCAATTATTACGAGTAAAATGAAAAAAATTCTCTGCATTATATCCAAGATTCCTATGTCTACATGTATCTATACAAAACTACACTTTCTATATATGAAATGAATCCAAGTTTTTTTACTATTGATACGTAAATTTAAATTGTTACATGCCAATGAGCGCAGACGATTATATAGAACAACGAATCTTATGAATTACAGTATCAGTTGTATAAATAGAACGTGTATTAACGTTAATTTTTTTTTAACAAACTATGAGTAGAATGTTATACGACGATACAAGTTTTGCGTGTCGTGACTGTTTAATGATGATTGTTAGGATATAAATTGTTAAGGTATGTAGATAATTATATATAGATCAATTCATCGTAAACTTATCATACATTAGAAATAAAATCAGCTATTGCTATGAGCCAATGTTCAATATATTAATTAAAATGTTTGTTAAAATTTAACTACTTATTGTTAAAAAAATGAATTACTATAATATCGTAAAATATACTGAAATGAGGAAAAATTTATTTATTTTATTTTTAATGATAGAATTGTTGAATTGTCTAATATTTTTGGTATTCTTATGAATATTCGCGAATTGTTAACAGTACCATCGTAATATCCGCTGCATATACAATTTTAAATTAACAAATAATAAAACCGTCTTTTATTCCATCATAGCTATGCAAGATACTGAAAATTTATACAGATTTCATTTGTTAATGTGTAGAAGTAAACATAATAGATATTAAGACTTTAGAATATCCACATAACACCATCATTTTTTATAAAGTTCTAACTCTGCAGTCATAAATTTGCATCGTAACTATAAATTATTAAACTAGACAAATCAATTTAGATCAGTTTTTATTGAAGAGTCATTTAAATTATTTGTACACTATCCGCGATGTAAGATTTCCTTCGAAAAAATGAATTAGCAAGAGTATTGTTGCAGATCCAAATGCATTTCATCTTCCGTCTACAATAGATAATTGCTATTGTACAAATTACTGATGTTGTTAATTGCGTATTAATGAGTAATTAATGGGTGAAAATATAAATTGAAAAAGTAACCCTAGCTTAAAAAATCGTTTCTTGCCAGCAGCACTGTTGTACTAAAAAATATCTAAAAGTAATATAACACAGTGTAGAACGTTCTTGCTTTTATTAATTGATTAAATTTTTGCTTTACTATTTTTCTTATTAAAAATATCTTTTAAACATAATAAAATGCATATAAGCATGAATGTTATTATGTTTACAAGGATCATTTTATTTTTATGATTAAAATGATTTCAGTATTTATCGTATACTTGGATTATGAATAAGAGAAATAATATTCATTATTGAGAATGTCAATAATTTTAAAGCAAAAAAGTAATCAATAACGAAGCAATCAAATTTTGAAAAACGCAAATCTTAATAAGAATGGAACCGAATAACAAGACCATATGTGTATCATTGATATCATTTGTTTTGTTAGGATTTCCCGATTTTCAATATTCCTAACTGACGAAAAATACTGACCATTTATTTATAAATATATAGTGTAGCTCATTTTTAGTATGGTCTCCAATTTTATGAAGCACTGAATCATGAAAATAAGTTCACACAGTGCACAAACGAACTTGATAAACTATTAGTTGTATGTAAAAATAAAGTAAAAACTCAAGAAGAGAACACTGTTAGAAAATAATATATACGGGAAATCCAACAAACAGATCGTGATAACTGCGTATGTGAGCTTGCAAGCTCAAACTTACTGTAATTGAATGAATATGTAAAGTAAAATAATAAACAATAAATTCCATGTTGTTTAAATACTTGATCAGCAGACTAAATCAGCTTTTCACATCATACATCTAATAGACAAATCTATCAATTTACCTCATAACAAAATTAATATAATGTACAAAGCTATCACAAACAACTATCAAGGATTAACTACAGCAAATGATAAATAAAAATGCTCCTGCCTATGAATTTTCATGATCCTAATAGAGTCAGTGAAATATCAAATGGAAAATTTTTATTTAATATTTTTATTACCAATACGAAGCGGCAATTTTTCACATTTTTTGTGATAAATCAACTTATCAAGTTCGAAGAAGCCCCTTCACAGTCATACTAAAAATTTCAAATGAAAATTTTTAATAGCTCGCAGCTACAAAATTAATTTCGAAACAATCTCTATATGTTCTAGGTATTAGCGGTAACCTACTCGTATATATACATTTTACTTTTCTTAAAAAGTATATGTGGTAGGGGAAAGGAGTTCCTCCATATAATGTATTCTCAATTTGACTAAAAGGGAAAATGTTTGTTTCGGTTATTTTTATTACCTTCATCAACAAATAATAGATTTGCCTCCTCTGTTTTATAAATGATCATTTGTTAACTGAATAAATGTTAAAACCATTATTTAAAAAAATCAGAACAGTCAGTTGAATAAAGAAAAAAGATGGAAACCTGGCGGATTCCAATTACCGCGTCTGGCTAACGCGCAATCTTGCGACGAATTGAATCGGTTAAGCTGGCGATCTGTTATTATTTTTAATCGTCGCGCGTGCACGCGCTGCGTTCGAGATTCACTATCTCGCTCTCTTAGCAAAAATAGAAGATTCGTCTACAAGCGTAGAACGCGAGAGCTTAGTGCGTCTGTGTCTTGGACCAAGTAAGTGCTCAGTTGTGCCGTGGCCTACTCTCCCCGACTTACCTGCCCTCGGGTCCACTTCGCACTTTTTCTTTTTTTTTTTCACACGCGCGACAGGTGAATAAGAAACGCAGAAATAACTCTTTTGTGTTGCATTCTTCTCGTGACCGGGTCGCTACTCTTACTTCGCTTTTCCATTTCCAAAAAGTGCCGTAGTTTCTAGTTTTTTGGTAAAATATAAGTGCTTCTTAATCTTCAAATATTGTCTCTCATCCTAAGTTTTCTTTTGGCAAAAACTGACAGGTATACCACACAGAAAAACTATACAGCACAAGTTTTTCAACAATTTCGTCCACAATTCTTAGTAAATAACAGCGAAGAAAATTTTAAACTTTCACTGACTGAAATTCAATATTGAAATACAAACGCTAATACAAATATAGAATAAGAAAGTATTATTTTAGAATAGATTTTTCGTTCATACTTTTAAAAATAATCTATCTTTTATGAATAACGCAGAGAAAACTATTATATGGTTTTGATTCGTGATTTTGACTATACAAATAAGTATTTCTCAATGATTGTTTAAGTATATATAAAATGAATGTGCGTATTTATAAACATTGCTATTTTTAGTTAACGGTCATCGTTAAAAATAATAGATTGCGTTTCCTTCAAAATATATATATTTTTAAAATTTTGCTTTGAAAATATTTTATGTGTGAAAATAATTAATCAAACGATAACACTAAAACAAACTATCTAAATGGAAAAATATATATTAATAGTTCAACGAACTCTTGAAATATTGACAGTTGAAAAACTAATATTCGTTACTTTTATGAATATGAAAAATTAAAAAATTCATTCATTTTTAGGCTTTCGATAGATGTGTTAAAACAAGAAGGCAAGGTTAAAAGAGGAGGTTTCCTCATTGTCGTTGCTGGGTGCCAAAAAATCTGTATAGTCAAAGTTGCGTGAGCCACTTTGGCGGCGACATTATGTCGCCCCCGATGAGTAAAGTTCCATTACTTCTAAGCGCACTCCTACTACTTTTGCCTTGTATTTCTGCGGGTGTTGTCGACACTACGACTGATATCGCCTCCACGACAGAATATGATTCTAGCGACATAAGCGCAACATACAGTACTGAAATCAATGAAGTCGATGAAGTAGAAATTGAAAAGGAAATTGATGAAAATGATTGGCGCAATAATACACTCATTTATTACATTTGGGTGAGGGCTTTTCGAGACAGTGACGGCGATGGTAATGGTGATTTGCGAGGTGAGAAATGACAGAATCGAACTAATAATATGAGCGAAGTAGATTTTAGGCAATCAACATGGTTTTATTACGAATAAGACAAAATAATGAATTTTCGCAATATTAAATGAGCTTTGTTTAACTTTCAAACACAAATCAAAATATTATTTTTTTAAGTTGATTCCTTTTTACAAATTTTGAATACAGTGTTATTCACAGTCGTCTATTTATAAAACTAAAATAAACTGTAACAAATATACTCAATTACAATATAAACAGATAAACAGTTTGTGTTTGTTTTTACTGTTTGCAAAATGAACATCTCAAAAAATGTAACTGACGATTTTATTTCCGTTGGAAAAATTGGACAACATTTTGCTAAACTTGAATTTCGTTAAAAATAAATTAAGAATTATGAGAAATTTTTATAGATCAACTTTCAAAAAAATTTTCAAATTAAACTATTTTTAATTATAATTTTCTAAAGTAGTATTTCTACTTATTCATTCATTTTTACAAGGCATTATTAACCGTCTCGACTATCTATATGAGCTTGGAATAAAAACCATAAGATTGAGCCCTATTTATACATCTCCAATGATTGATTCTGGATATGATATTCAAAATTTTACTGATGTTAATCCAATGTTTGGAAATATGATTGATTTTGAAGAATTGGTACATAAAGCTCACAACAGAGGTAATTTTTATAAATAAAATTCTGCACCGAGTTTAATTTTCCGTAAAAACTTTTGAAACTAAATGTTGTGATTTTTAAACTAAACAGATTTAAGAATTATTTTGGATATTGTTCCAAATCATTCTAGCGATCAACATGAATGGTTTACATCTTCAGCAGTTACTTGTGCTGAAGACCCTTACGATGACTATTACATTTGGGCTGATGGCATAGTCGAAGATAACAAAGTATTGCCACCAAATAATTGGGTAATTGAAAATTTCCAATTCATTTATATTTATCTTATAATTTATACTTTTCCAAGTTATGGAAATTTTTTAATTTTACAGAAAAATATTCACAGCGATACAGAAGGATCAGCCTGGACATGGCATCCAAAAAGAAGGCAATGGTACTATCACAGACTCCATCAAACTGAACCAGAGCTTAATTTAAGAAATGAGAATGTTATTCAAGAATTTTTGGTACTATGGCTTGAATATTTGTATACATATTTGAAGTATAAATAGCTTTTAAAATGCACTGAGTAAAATAAAATGTTAATATAAATAATCTGATTCTAATCAATTTTTAGGATATCTTTGATTTCTGGCTAGAAAAAGGAGTTGATGGATTTTCTATTAGTGGTATATCTTACTTTTTGGAGGATGAAAGTTTACGTGATGAAATAGAAGATGACGATAATGATAATGATGAAGATAATCACAATACCTCTTGTTGCATGGGTATATCAGAGACTGCTGAAATACTATTTAAATTTCGAGATCATATTGATCAATGGGTTCAGGATAATAATGCAGAACCAAAGTAATATTTTCATATAATAAACAAATTTATTATGTTGTTACTTTATTCCAAGCGGCTTGCAATATTAGTTAATATCGGTGGTTGTTGAGTAATCAAAATAATCTTTCCCTTTTGGATTCATTTGAGACAGTGTTTTTTTAACAAAATCTTGTCAACGTTTCGGTGATGTCTATCACTGCTTTCAAGGTTACCGTTGGAACAAACAAACATGTCCATTAATGCACATTAGTATAAGTCATTTGTAATTTAATGCACATGTTTGTTTCAAAGATAGCCTTGAAAATAATAATAGACAACGTCACCGAAACGTTGGAAAAATTTTGTTAAATAAACACTGACTCGAAAGGATTCAAAGGGGAAAGATAATTTCGATTTCCCAACAACCTTCTTTATTACTTAAACAAATTTGTTTAATATGTAATACGTTTTTGTATTTCTTTATAGATTATTACTTGGTGAAGTGGATGAGTCTGATGATAACATAATCAATTATTACGGAAATCAGACACATTTAGGAATCACACCACTAAACACCGTTTTGATTACGAAACTGAATAAGACAAGTGATGCTAAAGACATTAAAGAAGTTATAGAAGATTGGATGGAGCGTATTCCCGAAGGGGCTAAAACAAATTGGATTGTGAGTAAATTATATTTATTATAAAATTTTTAATAATGTAACATGCAAAAATAGCTTCTTAATGGACGAAATTTATTCACGTGTCATTCAGCTTTCTGATCAAGACCATTCAAGAGCGACATCGAGACTCGATTTAGAACTTATTGATGGTCTCAATATGCTTGCTTTACTGTTACCTGGCCAAGCAATTACCTATTATGGTGAAGAAATAGGAATGGTGAGTGGGAACATATCACGAGAAGACTCAATCGATCTAACAGCTCTAGAAATACTAGAAGATTCTGAAGAATTATCAAGAGATTCATACAGGACACCTATGCAATGGGATTCGTCAACCTCAGCCGGATTTTCTTACAATGAAAGCACATTCCTACCAGTTAATCCTGATTATATTGAAATTAATGTCGATAAACAGTTAAACGACGTAAATAGTGACTTAGAGGCCTATAAAAAACTGGCTGTACTTAGGCAAGGTCCAATATTTACAGAAGGAGACTATCAATTGGATGTTGTAAACGAGGACAACGTTCTTCTTTTAAAGAGGTATTTTATAAATTTTTTATTACTCAGTAATCTGATGAGTGCTAATCAAAAATTATATTCTAGAACCATAGGAAATGATTCTTGCATTGCTATTATAAACTTTGGATCATCGAAAGAAATAGTCAATTTAACAGCTTTGTATCCTGATTTAGAAAAAGATTTGCAAGTTATGCTTGACTCCAGTAATGCAGATGTAGAGATGTAAGATTATTTTAACTAGTTTTTCACTTACATTTTTGAAAATAATTATTGTCATTATTTTCTTTGCAGAGAAAATGATCAAGATGATGATGACGACATAGAAAATGACTCTTTTATACTAAATGCTAATGCAGCAGCTGTTCTCTGTGATAAAGAAGATTTTGAAGAATTTATCGATGATATAAATTCAAGTGAAATTGAATCTGCAAGTACGACGACAACGGAAGAACCTAGTTTGGTCATTCCAGTTACCACAACTGAAGCCTCTACTCCAAGTTCAGCCTACACCAAAAAAGCATTTCAGTTTGTGATTAATCTCCTCCTTTTGTCTGTTCTAAGAATACTTTAAAATTTATCCATCTTGTAAAATTTTTACAAAATTTTGTATTATTAAAGTGTTTTTTATTAAAAATAACTTTATATCTTATTCATTATAATCACCTACTTTTGACAGATTATCATGGCTATTTATTTATTCAACTTAACGCTATTTGATTTGAGCTACGGATCTTGACAGTTTACGAAATATAACGATTTTACCTATATTCATGTCAGTTTGTCATAGATGATTCATTCCATAAAATAACAAACAAAAGGATTTCTAATTGTTATTATCATTTTATAATATGTATATGATACAAAAAAAATACTAAGCCAATTAAAATTACAAAAGAAATTTCACCGATAAAACTGCATATAGCTCAGTAAGAAATGTGTTGAAAACAATAAATTTGTATCACAAAAAGATTTGATTTGCGATAATAATAAAGATATGATAAAGATTGTTGATAGTTGCTGTCGTATGGAATTTTATATGTATCATGAAGACCATTTGTTATCTTGTTCAAATATCCGCTGCCTGTCAGTTTAAATTTATCTTTCGTAAGGAGTGCTTGGATATTTTGTACTTGTATCGAAAGAAAAGTTTTCTAAATACAACATCCTTTATTAGTTAATAGACCTAAGTTAGAATTCCTAGTGTTGTTTCTTTACTAATTCCAGTTTGGCAAACAGTTCCGAGACAAAGTTTGCAAAACAAGTGCACTTACATAAGCTTAAAAAGAAACGGCCTTTATTAAATAGCAAGAGATATAGGAATGTAACAAAAATGGCACCAACGGAAAACACTTATCTTCTTGTAGACCTGAAGTGCAATGGCGAGATTACCCAAATAAATATTTATGACAAAAAAGATTTTAGTAAAGGTATATTGAAAACTTTATTTACAAAAAGTTTAGTTTATTAAATGCCTAGTATTATTTGAGTATTGCTGAGCGGAAACCTTTTATTTACTATTAATATGAAGTAAGTAAAAGTCATATTTTAATGACTTGCAATAATTTGCGCCGTAAATGTGTAGCGTCTTCATTCTGTTCTACACATTGCATCATGAATAAACTACACTCTGCAACAGTATTTACTAATAACTTATTTTATCCCAAATTTTTCATTCGACTACGATGAAATTTATCATGTGTGATTATGAAGCCATTTCATTTTAGAACTAACTAGTGAAGACTTAGAATATGACGTAGCTCTTCCTTCATGGATAAAAGTCCGTTTATTTCTATTTTGGTTTTTCTGGGCAGTATTTATCATAATGCTTATCTTATTAATATTGATCTACAGTTTCATAATTCCGCCAATGTGATAGTATATGGAAATAGATTCGTCGCAAACGGTATGTTTTCTAGAAAGTTAGATTGTTTTTCGTTTACAAAACATACCTTTCCATCACGATAAAACTGATAAATCATCAAAATAGATAACGATTAATATATGTATATTTTTCAGGAAATAAATTAAACTCCATTAAAGGACAAAGACTTGTGCAAAAAAAAGTGCAAAAGTTATAGCGTGTAATATAAGAATATAATTAAATAAAATTTAATGTTTTATATTTAATTTCAATGTTGAGTACTTTTATACACATATTTGCAGCTGTACGTTGCAGAGAAACTTGAAAAAAAATCGACACTGTAACAAAAATTGTAAATAACATATGTAGTTGTAACTACTGATGATTAAAAATATCTCTTATATTTGATCTAATCTTAAAAAATTAGTGATACTGTATCTGTCTTATTCTCTTCGGCTTTTTATCCAAGTCAAGAAAAATAGTAAAACAACTGTTATTTAAAAAAAAATTGATGTTAACTATATTTTTATTATATCTTATAAATAAAAATGTTTATGATAGAAAATTAAGTTTTCATATTAATTTACTTATTTATTAACCAATTCGCTATCTGAATATTTAAAACTGTCAGTCTTATGGAGTAATTATTTATTTGGCACATTTGAACTGTGAAGTAATTAAACTTATGACTTTGTTTTAAACAAATAATTAATGAATTCCTATATTTTTATCAATGGGAAATACAATATCAAGGCAATTTTTCTTAGCAAGTTTCACAAAAATTGAATTCGTGATTCCATTCATTCCGTTATTTCTTTACACTGTTATGTTCATGTATTTTTATTCCGAAATATTATGTTTCTTCATTTCAGTTTATTTTAGTTCTCATCGAGCTTATCGGTTGACGATTACATTGAAGGAGCAATAAATATTTATAGCACAGTAGTTTCAAGAAGGTGAAAAACCTATAAATATATAAAGTAACTTAATTTAAATCAATATAATTTTTATAATTTTATATTGAAATAGTATTGCATTTCTTAAACTGTATATTTGAATAAATTCATATCTCAGTCGATACGTAAACGTTCCTTTCCATTTCAATTATAAAGAATAATTAGAAAATAGTTTAGTGTTGTAACTTTTCATACAACTATTTTCATACTACTACTATTTTTAGTGTTATAAATTTAGTACTCAAAGAACAATTGAAAAAATATGGTGTACAATATATAATAAAATATACAGTAGACACGCTTAAAATATTATACAATTATATTATATAGTACAAAATGTATCCTTTTAAAAAATAATCATATACATTTTCAGCTTTTAAACGCAATATCACAACGCTATATCATTTTAATTGATAGATAAATATGAATTATCTAAAGCGAATGTAATTTTGGTATTTTATAGCGTGTACAGATTTTGTACAACTAATTAATATTATATTTATTAATTTTTTTATTTCGCCAGGACCAGAAAGTGTTAATATTTCTACTAAATTCGAGGCTCAAAATTAATTAATTAAAAAATGCCTTGAATCTTTTGAAAAGCAAATTCAAATTAACATAATTTCGTCACGAAACGAGATCAATCGACTCGCGCATGCTCATTTTACAGCTCGTAATGGGACACCAAAACAAAGGCAAAAGAAAAGAAAAACGAGATCACTGTCGGTGGCAACCCTGTTACAGTGTATATAAATTCTCCATTGTAAAATATTCGGTTGGCACTGCATTACGGGATTTCATTGTAAGAACGTTCCAGTCTCGTGACCCTCACACGACCTCAAGAATTTCAGAGCCTCGCCCGATCCCTATAGTGGTTCAAAAGACTAAGCAGATCCTTTGAAATCGTAAGTACAAAACATATTTCATCATAAATGTCAAACATATTTCATCGTAAATATCCTCAAATTCCCACGAGAAAGAGAAAAATAATGGGTACGAGATAGAGCAGGTAACGGTCTAGCCTCAAAGATTGACGCTAACCCACTGAACCCTCTCTACACGTGGCGTGTACATTTATAACTCCTTGGCTCTTGGACAGGTTTTATTCGGAGTGAAGAGGATTGCGTAAGCATCAGAAAGCAAGTGAAAGGAAATGGAGAAGAGTGGGAGGCTAGAGGCAGATAGTAACGGCAGCGTCGCCACGAAGGAGCAGGCGGTCGACAGTGACGCCTTAGCGCAGCAAACGTACAAGCAATTGCCCGACGAAGACGTCAACTGGCAAGCTCGTAACAGCACATCCGACGAAAACAGCAAGGCCACCAGCATGGGCAAACCTAATGGCACAGATGTCGAGCTCGACGATGGTGCTCAGGAACGGATGCTCAAGGATGATGTTAAAACCTCGGTCTTACCAAGTAAAGACACATCCGAGGTGAATACTGACCTTTTTGCCTTATAATGACTGCTCACTGATAATGCATAAAGATTTATGACTGATAAACCTCATGTTCAAGTGCTTGTTTGTAGTCACTTTTATACTTTAAGCTTCTTTGTTTGATATTAACAAAATTTGAGTCATTTGTTTAAAAATTTTATAACAATTATATGAAAGATAGATTTGAATAACTCAATTATATAACTTACTTGATTGCCTTTTACCATGTGTTCTCTTTAACGCTTGATAATACAAGCTTTTGTATAGATATAAAGGTTGCTCAATTATTTTATTAGTAGCTGAGATTCTTAAAAGGAAAATAAGCATAAGTTCAATACAATCTTTTTATTGCATTAAATAATTTTTTTTTAATTTTACTGTCTTGAAAAAAAAAATTACTTGAAAATTGATAATCCTTATTTTTTCTGAATTCACCATGGCGTTTTTCAGGTTAAATTTATATCAGAAAATGGAGATGCTAAAATTGATATTGAAATAGTCAAGCAATCTTTATCAGGAATGGGAAAAGCTGAATTAATGAAATATGCTAATGATCCATTTTGGATCAAATTAAGATGGTTTTTATTCATTGCTTTTTGGCTTCTCTGGGCTGCTATGTTAGCTGGAGCTATTGCTATTATTGTAATGGCACCAAAATGTACTCCTCCAACTCCGAAAAAGTGGTATGAAGAGAATCCTATTATTAAATTAGATCCATCAGATGCAAATCCAAGTAATTTAGAAGGTTTGAAAGCTATACTTGTTAGTTTTCAAAAGAATATAAAAGCTGTTTCTCTACATTCAGTTTTGAAAGAGTCAGCACCTGGTGAGTTATCAGTATTTCTAATACACTTGTATAAATGTATCGTGAGCTTGAATGGTTATCAGTATCAATCGATTATCACACAAACTACTAACAAAGCCAAACATACTTGAATATATCTCTTAAAGATTGCTAATTTTACAGGTCATATAGTAGATTTCAGGGATCTAAAAATAGGCTCTATTGAAGAATTCCAAAAGTTTGTTCAGCTTGCTAAGAGTAATGAACAAAATATTATTTTGGATATAGATCCAAATCACTCTTCAGATCAGCATGAATGGTTCAAAAAATCTATTGAAAGAGAAGAGCCATATATCTCCTATTATATATGGTCTGATGGAAAGAAAAGTCCTAATAGCGACATATTACTGCCACCAAATAATTGGGTTTGTATTTCAGATGATGACCAAAATATTTGTACTTATTCAAGTAATATTTATCACTTATTTTTATTTTATTTATTCTACATTGTAGATGAGTATAAACGGAGGTTCTGCATGGACATTCAATGAAAAGAGACAACAATTTTATCTTCATCAATTCAATTCTAGCCAACCTGATTTCAATTTCCATAATTCAACTGTTATTAATGAATTTTCTGTATGAACTAAAAAACAAAAGTTAGCTTTACAATTAATTTGAATTTCTTTATAATTTTCCTTTTTGCTTGTTAAACTAGGAAATATTCAAACACTGGATCAATTTGGGCGTTAAAGGATTTAGAATCGCTAATGCTCGCCATTTAGTAGAAGATAAAAACTTAACAGATGATTCTACTGGTCTTGAATACCCAGCTGAATCAGCATCACATCATTCTCTTCTTCATGTGCATACGATCGATCATTCTGACAATGCTCATGTATTGAGGATATGGCGAGAAGTTGTTAAAAACCATACTAATGGAGAGGGGTATTTTTCTATATTTCTTATTTAAAATTGATAGTTCTTATTCAATTTATGCTAATGGTTTTCTTTTGTCTACAGTCTGTTTACAATGAGTGATGAAGTGCAGCAGATTTGGCTACAAACAAACAACAGACCAACAGCAATTGATATTCCTCAAACTGCAGATTTCTTCTACAATATCGATCCTACTGTGTCCGCTGTAGCTTTGAATAAAAGTATCACAGAAATTTTAGCCATAAAAGAAGCTCCTTGGCCTGGCTTAGATGTTAGTATTTTTAATTCATTTTTTGATACATATAATTACTAATTAATTTTGAAGGTATTAACCAGCCTTTGAATATTTTTACAGTTAAGTGGTAAAGCAGTTCCTTTGAAGAAACGAATAGCTGCAGGAGTAGCAGAAAGTTTAATTTTGATGACCATGCTTCTGCCTGTTACGCCTATCATAAAATATCACGATATTAGATCTAACAATACTGCTTTTACTACACTCCTAGAAACGCGCAAAAATTCGGCATTTTTGTTTGGAGATACTAAAACAGATGTTCTTAATAATGGAACTGTTTTTGTATATACACGGTAAGAATGCAATAAGCCACAGTTTATTTTTTACGTGATTTTTTTGTTTAGTATCATTAATTGTGATTCGATTTCCTGTAAATATTGATTGATATTGAAGTGATTATTTTCTAAACACTTGAATCATTAGGGATTATCAAAAGTTAGTTGAAAAAATGTATGATGCTTTTTAACATGAAAATTATTAATAATAAAGTAAGAATTATTTTGTGTGAATCAATTTAACAAACTAACAAAATTTTTCTTTGCTTTGTTTTATGTTACCTGCTTTTTGGGTTTAGAAATTGGTAAGTAACTTTGTTAAATTAATTGGTACATGCATTACGAAACAAATTACCTTACTGATCGTATTTTACAGGTTAAAGAGTGGTAATCCTGGATATTTGGTAGCTTACAACAGTGCTCAGCAGAATACTACAGTTGATATAAGTACTGTACCATATATGTCTAATGAAGTAAACATTGTTGCTTACAGTCACCCGTCTGATGATGTTTTATATAGCACAAAGTACGTATATAGATCGATTTTCTTACTATTATAGTTATGAAGTTGATATCCACCAATTAATTGATTTTCATATTTATTTACAGAAAACTAATGTCTAAAAACGTGCCAATGTCTCCCAAAAGCACACTGGTTGTGACTTTTGTGCCAAACAGCCAAGCATAAGTTTTTTAAGTTAAAGCTGTGATTGACTTGCATTTAAATATTTGTGTTCTAACAAAAAGAACTCCAATCTATATTTTTCATGGAGTCAACTTGAATGTGCATTGAAAAAGTAAAAAATAAAAAATACTTTATTTCTTACAACTTAGTCTTTTTTTATTTTTCTTTTCTGAATAAAACTTTAATTCGTATAAAAAGATTACTTATTAATTTATCCTAGTTACTTTGTACAAATTTTTACAGAAGACAATTTTTTTACATTGATTATTCGTTATGAATTTTATGAGGATCAGTAAATCTTGCGGTGAGTATATAGAACAATGCTGGCAATGGTACCAATGCTAACATTGCTGGATGAATAGTTGATCCTCTCAATGCTGCAATTGCTATTATGCCATATGCATGTAACAGCCAATGACCCAAAATCACAACAATATTTTTTATATCAGAAATGGAACTCAAGACTAGTGACTTCATAGTCTGAAAAGTCAATAATAGTTTTATTAGAAGTTTGGAGAATTAAAATATTTTTAGTGAAAAATATAATTGTTACCTGATTCAATTTGAAGGCAAAGTGTGCTGCATTTGATAGAACTGAGAGAATAATTGTTATGTATGGAAAAGAATAATCTGGAAAAAAAAATGCATTGTAATACATTACCACAAATCTAATACTATAAATTATATTAAATATTACATATTAGTCCACTTCCAACAGCGTGTAGCAATGCCAGAATTGGAAAAAAGTAAAGTGCAGCATAAATAGAAAATTTTCCTTTCTTTGGCAGAAATTTCCTTGCTATCAAGGGCCTTACAAGAAGCATTATTAAAACTGCAAAGGCATAAAATACAAACACCATTGTATACCTGAAAGAACAGAATATTATTTATTATATAATAATTATATATATATTTATAATGGTGATTGACATAAATTATTTAAAATCAGAACTGTATTCACATAAATCAATTTAAGGATGCAAACACCTCGTTAATTTACTCTGTGTATGTGTGCAAATGCATCTGTGTGCATGTGTGTGTAAAATATTTGATCTAACAATTAACAATACTCACAAAGGGTATACTGCCTCTTGAGTACAGTGTAATGTAGTTTCATAGTTCGGATTGGGATTGTGCAGTAGAGTATACCAATCTGATAATTTATAACTTCTACAAGATTTAATAGTAAAGGAACCAACTGGTTCAGTCAATTGTAAGGTAATAAAACAGGCAGCCAATATTTCAAGAAGAGCCGATAAATGCAGTGCTATGACTTCCTTTGGAATACTTCTCCTCATTGCTACAGTGTCAATACAGAACCAGTGGAGAACAAGTGCAAGTAGAGCCATGAAACCAAGATAGAGCCAGTCATAGAATGATGGTATTTCTTCACAGAGTTCACATGCTGAGAGCATATTATTTCGAAATCCTCGAGGACAAGCCCCACAATCTGACCAATTTCCATCTGGTAGTAATTCTCTGCCACAATATAAACCAGGACATCGAGTAAGAGTGTTCATTTTGTCACATCTACCCTTGGTCACCTCCAATTCATGTTTTTGTTTGTGAATTTGTTATCTTATCTGGCATAAATGTTTTTTACTATGAGAGAGTATACAAAAAGCTAGTTCACTGTGAACAAATAACTTTAATATAACATATGCGCTTCAATGAATTAATAAATACCTTGAAATAAAAAAACAGTACCTTAGATAAATTACACTTTCAGTAAATATTTCTGATTTTTAACGGTTATGTTTACGTCAAACTCAATAATTATTATCATGCTGACTCACTCGTGTGTTTTCTCTACAAATGGAAGTACTCAACAATATTTAAATTGCCATATTAATGTTAATTAATTATCACAGAAAGAATTAACAACAAAAAAAAAACTTTAATAGGTGTTTTCAGTTACTATAAAGATTGACACTGTAGATACAGTCCGTATATATAGCAGTAGAAAATACTTCTTCAGATACATACGTTCACTCCCTACTCTCGTCTGCTGTTCTTCCTTATCATCCAATCCAGATCACGTAATTCTTTATAATTTTTTTTTCAGGAATAATAATCAGAAAATTACTTTTATATAACAATAAGAAAATAGATAAGTGATGTTGTCGAAAATTTATCATGAAATATTTCGTATGAAGACAAATTTTCGTTAAAATTCAGGCAAGATGTTTGAAGGCTAAGCTTGTTGCATTGATTCGAATCAATGAATACCAAATTACATACTTGATTTATTTCATTTTTCAATCGGATGTGAGATTCACACTTCATGAACCATTTGTGATGGATAAATTAGACTTATAATTAACGCAAATTAATTTCTAGATACTAATTTGAAAAGATCAAAATTAAAATTGCAAGAAATAACGTTTATAAGCGTTTAAATTAACATTAAAGACACTTATAGTTGACAAAAAGCGTCAACGAACAAAATGTGTCGGAATTGCTCAAATTTGCCCACAAAAATATACGCATACGCGTAAAGTGTCGCCCTCTGTTCAATTCATAATTCGGCTTCGGCTACCATCGGGCGATGTTCTCGCGAATATTCGTGTAAGTTCGTTTTTGTCGGTGTCGAACCGTCAACCATGCTCTGGCGGCGACGAATATAGCCTTTGGATATTACTACTTTCGCACGAACAAACTACATTTCAGATGATTTTTCAAGAAGATGGCCGAGGGAGAATCATTAGCCAACTCCTCTTTTCGACCAGTATATGCGCGTGTTGTTAGCTACCGCCTTATTTTTCATCTAAAAGTGTATATTATAGACGATGCGTGAATGTATGTGCGTAGAAGTACGCGGGAGAGAGAAAGAAACAACGGCGCTACGGCCTGCGCGCGCGACGTACAGGGGGTTAAGTAGTTCATACACGCACAAGTACACACACAGAAACGAGTCGGTCGACGCTCGCAGGGTGTTACACTGGCAAGGGGGTGAATCGAGCGCCCACCCACACAAAGAGCGCAAGCGTGGAAAAATTTGGTGGTTGTGGTCGGGGGTTAAAAATCGAGTTGAGGATCTTTACAAAGTACGCAGAGTACAACAGTACAGCAGTATAGGCAGCGGAAGAGAGTGAATAGAGCAGCACAGTCATAGCAGGCGGAAGAAGGAAGGGGAGATAGAAGATTCTCTCTCTCTCTTTCTCGCGGAGTGTGCTCACATTACTAGGTGTGTGTAAGTGTGTGTACACCCACACGTCGACAAAGCGACGAGTCGCTCGCTCGTGTGTGCGCGAGAGATCCTAACCACGAATCTGCGCCGCTGGTACTGTGCTGCCAGTGCCCGAAGTAGTAGCCTAGGAGGAGCTGTTTGTAGAGGAGTCTACGGAACGGCCGAGTGACGAACGTGTAATTGCAAGTGTGTGTGTGCGTGCATTGCGAGAAGAGAAACGGGAGAACCGAAAGATATGTCGCAACATCGACGACGCGTCGTCTGAAGTCCGCCGCCGCCGCTCGATCATCCGCCTTCCGGCGGCCCTCGCCCCCGACGACACCGGAGAGAGAGAAAGAGAGAGAGAGAGAACTAAAAACGGACGCGCCGACATCCACACACACACACACATACACACATACACACGAACGTGAGTAGAGTACGTAATCGTCGAGAAAGAGAGAGCCTGGTTTCTCGTTGCCCGCATTAAAGTACTCGTCGTCGGCGGTGAGGCTCTCTCGAAAAAACATGAGAGGAGCAGTAGCAGCAGACTCGCCATTGCTCGCAGCTGATGGCGCTCGTAGCCGTTAAATGAAAGCGGCTGCGACGACGTAGGTAGAATTCGCTCGTTCTGTGTCGCGCGCGCGCTCGCGCAGAGGAGCTTTTCCGTTGTCGACACTTTCTCAGAGTCGTCGTTGTCGTCTCCTGCTCGGCCACTCGATCATTCTGCATGTGTATGTGGTAAGCGTGTGTGTGTGTGTGTGTGTTGCGCAGTGTTGCGTGCGCCCCTCCGAGGAAAAACGAAAAAAGATCACGAGAGAGAAAGAGAGTCGTGAGCAGCCCACACACGGACGAAGCGGCGGCAACGGGCTCCCTCTGTGTGCGCTGCTAGTCCGAGGTCTGAAGAAACACAACGAGCACGACTACGAGGAGAATCAACACGGGATTATTGGGGACACGTGGAAAGGACGCGCCCGGCGTCGGCGTACGTCGGCCAACGACTCTACCTCCGAGGCTCACAGAAGCAGTAGCCGTGCCAACGCCTCTTTTTTCAACCTCTTGACCTTCTCTCCCCGCTGCCACGCCAACCTGTCCCAAGGTGGATGCTATTTTGGAGCGAGTCACTAGCAGTCGAGAACGAGAAAGATACAGGAGAGCTTTTTGGAGCTGAACATAGACATTTTATTTTTTATGCAGATGTGTGTGAAGAGCTGAGTAGCATGGAAGGTTAAGAGACTCAACATGATTTTGCAGAGTCTGTGTTGAGAGCAGCAAGCCAAGTATTTGTTGTATGTTATACAAGTGCATCGGGTCTTATTTTTTGTTTCCCATCTACGTATCTGTGAGTGTGTAGTGTAGTTTCTGAGCTTGTAAAGCCATCATAGTCAGTAGTGAAACCAGCGCCCAACCCAGGCATGGACCCAGTCATCTTTAGCTAACACAGCCGAAAACTTGGAGAGGCATGAGTAAGAAAGCCTCCACCTCGACTGGCCACAGTGCCAACGATCAAGAGCCCAAAGATTCAAATATGTCATCAGTAACCTTTGTAGATCGGATAGATCCATTTGCCAAAAGATCCCTTAAGAAAAAATCCAAAAAGTCACAGGGCTCATCTCGCTACCGTAACTCCATAGATGTTGAGCTTCAGCAACTTCCTCTGCTCAAAGGTTGGTACCAAGTGGTCCAGCCACTTTTTCAATATGTAATTTTATCACAAATTATACATCCACTCACTTATGGGCAGCAGGGCCCTTTATAGAAAGCTAACTATAAATAAATACCAATAATAGGTCTTTTAATAGAACTTTCTTGTTGTACTTATAAAGTTCATGAAATTACTTAGTCATAAAGTCTTTTACTTAAAATCTTAAACTTGTACTGGTAATATTTCCATTCTTTGCAACTATAATAACATGATAACATCTAATTAGTATTTTAAAATAAAAAACTATGTACAGAAAGAAAAGCTTAAATTTCATGATGGGAAACAAGTAAAAAGTTTTTGGTTAACTGTTAAACCTAACCTAACATTGATTGGTAAATTTATTTTTAACTTTATCAGAACATAAAAAATTTACAATACTGTTCATCTTATACTCGTTACTAAATATTAATTCTAAATTGATTCTCATTATTAAGATGTTACATGTCAATAAAACGCTAAGTTCCAAATGTGAGAAGGTACAATAAAGTCATTGTAATATGTATCGTGCTATTAGTTGAACTTTTAAATAATTGAATCTAATACTAGAGTAAGTAACATCATATCTACAAGACCAAAATTAAATTTTTATATTTAATAATTGTCAAGCAATTTAAGTGACAAAAAGCAAAAAATAACACAGAAACTATACATTATATTTTTAAGGTAATGATTTGATTGCTACAATAAAGGAGCAATTTCATTTGTAGGAAAAAACTACATGTATTTTAATTTTGTCATCATCTTTAAACTAATTATTTCTTTCATAAAAACTATCATTTCTCATTCTATTTTTTTCTTTATTTGGTTTTTTTTTATCTTATCAAAATAATACTACAATTAGGAATGAATTGATTGTGCTCGCTGTAAAACCCTAATTTGTAAAAGAAGATTGTTTTATATTTTTGTACATTTCAAATTTTGGTATATTTGAAAAGTCATAATATAATAGAATATTTATTTGTATGTATAGTATTTATAAATTATTTGAATTTTCTTTCTATAAATGTATATTATCACATGTAAAAGCACTTTGAAGTAATTCAATTAGCAACAAGTAGTTTTCTTGCTTAGTCTGCATCCTTGATTGATCTGACAAATGACAGCGAAACAATTCTTTCAACCTAGCAAGAACAGTAGATTTCTGAGTTCTGGCAAATAGAGTTGAATCTTTAAAAAAAAATCTACTTTTAATTGTTGGCTATACAGATAAGTGATTGAGCTTAATTAATTGCTTAAATCTCTTTCAATTTGGATTAAATGTTTTCATGGTCTTTGGAGGAGATTGAATATTAATTGATCTACATGTTACTATGCACAAAAATGTCTTCTCTCATTTTTTGCCTACAATACATTACATTCAAATTGAATTTATTTTGCAGCAACAGTGGATTTTGTTTTCTTTCTACATTATTTATATTAAGTCGTAGATGTTATCACATAATATTTAAATTGTCTCATTCTCATTTCTCTGCCTATCAACAGCGTTGACAATACTTTTAAACCTCAGCAAATCTTACAAAACATTTCAATTTTTGAAGTTTCTCCAATGAATTTGCCCATTCAGACAGGAGCCTATACACTAGCTATACAGTTATTTCTTTTCTCAAAAAAACCGCTCAGTTATTCAAAGTACAAACGAACCAGGAGTAATTCGCGAGTAAACTTTTCGCGTATAAACAATTTCAGTTTACTATAATTCCTAAAAAAACCCTATATAATTTCTTTACCATCTCACAAGTTTTGTTTTCTCCAGCAGCAAGTAGAGCTTTCTTAACTGAACGCACAAATTAGCCCAAAACACTGGAAAATCAATAATTAATCTTGACAGGCAGCTGGCGCAGAATAGCCAACCCTTCGTATCGTCTCCGGGGAGTGGTGGCGGTGGTATTGAGCGCGTAATTACGTAAAGGTGTTGTTCACATTGGTCTACCGGAAAGATAAGCCCGCGCACGACCGCTGAAAATATAAAATACCAAGACACATCGGGATCTCTCTCGCGTTCGCAGTCCGATGATATCGGCTCGGACGGCCGAATTAAATCGAAGCAGCTGGCCGGCTTGACGTGCGGAAAGCGAGAAGGCGCTCATTCCCCGTTCGGGATTCGTAGAACTGCATTGCAAGCTACAGCCAGTTAGTCAGCTCTCGAGCGAGCGAGCGAGCACGTGGGGAGAGAGCGAGAGAGTGAGAGAGAGACCTTTCCCTCCATTTGCATCGTTTGCCACGTGGCTTTGTACACTCACTCGGTCGCGACGCACGCTGGCTGCTGTGCAACGGGTTACACCTCTTTCGGGGAAAAGAGAGAGGCCGCCAATCGATCGACGCACACGGGTCAGCGACACACGCCCCTTCACCCCTTTATATAGGCACTTACACGCTGTGCATGAAATGCCGACCGAGCGCAGTTTTGATTGATTCGCTGCAAGCATTATTGACGTTCTCGATTCTTAATGTAAGCCGCTAATCGCGACTCAAATGGCTCTTCATTGACGCTTAAGTTGCCTATATCGCGCGTTGACGAAAACCTTGGTATTCGCAATTGACGCGAGCGCTCCTTAGCTTATTGTCGTTCTGCGTGACTTATGGATTTACCAGCGCGACTGGCGTGGTAGGAAGCTATTTCAGCAGATAGATCATCGTCGAGATAATGCCTCAATTCTAGCTTGAAGAAAAAACGCTTTCAACGCCAAATAACGACTTAATAATAGCATTTAGCGGCTATTCATCCCGTCGTAAAGTGTCCCCGCGGATGTTGCGTCGTAAACGTCCTTTTTCTATCCTCGACGAATCTTATGGATAGACAGAGCGCGACAATCGACCGATCACGCGCCTTGCTAATTATTTACGATTGCACGCGGAGAAAGAGAGAGAGAGAGAGAGAGAGAACGGACGCACTCCGACGTCACGAAACGCGCAGTGCCAAAAAATGTCCCTAACCTTGGGCGATTTCATCGATTGGACTTGCGCGCGGGCTTGCAGCAGGGGACGACGTACTTTCGTTCGCGACTACCGCGCGTACACAGCACCTAAAATATCCATTCATAAAAAACCACGGAGATCTTTCGATCTTTATAATTTCTTTTTATTGTCATTTTTGTCATCCTGTGCGAACACATGACTTGCATTTATGTGCATAATGAGTGGATTTTGGCCGTGCAAGTGTATTTTGAGTTGCAATGACGTGTCATATGTTTTGAACTTGAATGAAAATAGACCTTTCTCTCTCTCTCTCTCTCTCTCTCTCGCGTGCGCGTGCACTCGCATACAGTGATTTATTCATTCGGCAACTGTTACTTAATTGTTCGTGAGGGAAAATGCTAACGTTTTGTCCAGTGTCACCAAAGCATGACTTCTTCTCTTGTTTATTGAGGCATTGATTTTCAACGTTTCGCCGTTCATTTTTCTTCGTGAAACAAAAAAGGATATCGCAGCGTATCGTTACGCCAAGTTTCTTCTTTACACTTTCGACGTTAAATTCATTCCGCTGCGTTATCTTGGTAAATTTTCAAAAAATTCAATCCAATGAACGTTCGCGGCTGATCGACGTAACGTCGTGTAATTTTTCTTGTTTCTTTGTTTTCAGTTTCCACGCGTTGTCGTAAAAAATTAACAAATATAAACGATAAAACCAACGTCACACACTGCGCGCGCGATAATTGTCAAAACATCATTTAACACTCGTTAAAGAATAAGAAAGCACGATAAGATACATTAATTTCGAAGCTTCGATAAGGAACGACAGAGAAGAAAAGAAGCGTACGTAAGCGCAATACACACGCACACACTGAAAAAGGTCAGCGGCTCTTGTGCCAAGTTGGCAAATTGGCCGTTTTACAGAATGACGTCGGGAACGGGACACGAGCTACGCCGCCTTTGCTGTGGCGGGGCAGCGCGTTGGAATATACACCTGCTTTTACGTAACTACGACGATCTAAATTCAATGAGAAATGCTTCGAGCGTTATACAATTGTTGATCCACGAAAAAGCAATTACGCGCACGGTAAATAATTGGCTTTTTCGACGTCAATATTTGTTTCGATTCACCGCCGTTGACGTACAATTCGCCAATATGTGCGACGAAAAAGTGGGTCGGTGTGTGACTGCCTGTGTGTTTCTCAGAGTGTATTTGTCGTGCTCTCCTATTGTCAAGCGTGACATCAGTTTTCTCGCGCGTTTCCATTCTTTGCTCTTGCTTTTTTCACAGTTCATCTCGATCGTTCGGATTTTTATTGGCTTTAACCTTCCTTTCCATCGCGTAATTAGTCTGTACACAGACTTCTTATAGATAGAAATCCGTGTAGAGCCTAACCTGCATCTCTCGAGAAGGGGGAAGGAAAAACAAATTTTTGCTTGAAATTAAACGATTGCAACAACGATATCAGCTTATCGCTCGCACACAAGATATCGTTGGATTGATAAAATGTTATTCTCTCGGCGGCGTATAAGTGAATTTTAGCTCGATCAGGAATGACAAAAAGTAGCTGTTTGCTGCAAAAATTAAGGAATGGAGAAAATCTACCCAGGATTCTTCAGGGCAATGTCGATAGCTACCCTACGTCAAATATTTTGCATCTGACTTTATATAAGGGCAAAAACTTGTTTTTTTTTTAACTCTACGTGCCCCGACATGTATTTCAGATGAAACACGACGTAGTAATGTTTATAATTCTTGAAGGTACTCCAAATTAGAAAAAAATAAATAGTAAAATTAATTACTCGGGTACGCTTAATTTTTTCGAGCGCACCAGTTTTTGAACGCGCAATTCCAATTTTATTCGAGTGCGCGGGAAGTACTGGCTTACGTCCTGCTTTGGATTTTTTGACTCTTTACTTTTCATCATTATCGATAAACAAGAACCAAATTTTTTTCAAATATTAAAAGAATTTAACCTTCTAACTATCAAATAACAAAGGTTGCAATTCAAAAAAACATAGCTCTACTCCTATTGATCGAAAATTTCCAAA